TGTTGACAGAGAGATGAACTGTGGCTAAAATGGACAACATCCTTGTGGACATGACAGTCACCCATGTCCTGAGCAGAATCTGCCAGACTCTAATTTAATTATAGGAAATTTGTAATTACAGGACTGGCTACTGACTGGGCGTTTATATTCACAAGGGAAGTCACCAGCAATTATGAACAAGTCTGCAGGGGAACACACACACACGTTAAGCTTTTTAGGGTTAATAAATGTATTCACCTGACTAATAATTTGACACAATGATCAGTACTATGCTCAGGAGTAACAATTTACAATCACCAATTAGGGCTCCACAATCCGACTCTTAATTTTCTATTTCTGGAAAAATCTTGCCTTGTAACATTTAAATGGGAACTGGTTGCTTGCTGGCTAAGAGCTGTATTTCTGCTTACTGAGGGCATTTTAATATTGCTGGATGGTACAGGACTGAATGGCTAAATACCACCTTTTCTTGTCAGCCTTTTAAAAGGAATCCGATCATGAGCTAATCCTAAAAGTTAAAGATACACGAGTATTTTGGATATGGCTGAGGAGTTAGTTTAGAAAGGGATAACCTCACCTGTTTGCTTTACCAACAACCACCCTCACCGCAGAAGAAACGTTCCATCACGCTCATTTGGGAAAGACTTTTAGCCCAAGTCACTCAAAACTGCAGGATTTTCTCTCAGACACCCATAGTGAGTAGAGAAAACAAAAGCATAGGAAGAGATTTCACAGAAGGTGTCCTTACATGGCTCAAGGCTGCCCTAAAAGGATACGAAAGCTCTCTGCCCAGAATAACTGAGTAATACAACAAACCTTTTCTTTCTGTAAAAGAAAAATAGTAGAAAATGTCCTCTGCATAAGCTGTCACCTGGCAGGATTTAGTTACAAATAAACTCTGGGCTTAATAGCAGAAGGAAAGGCAGCAAAGTGACCCTGGTTAGAACCAGCAAGTTCAAGCAAACACAAGACATTGTGCATCTTTTCTTCTCATAAAGATTAGTGTAGTCTTAATTTAACAATTCATCCTCCTCTTGTATCTTCTAGATTGAATCTGATTTTAGGCTATTTTCAGCCTTGATTTTATTATTCAAAGTTTCCAATAATTTTAATAGTTCTAAGTGATAAAGGAAGAAAACAAAGTGAGACCTGTAATGACAATTTTTTGATTCCATGCCTAAAGGGCTTTCATTTTTTCATCTCAGCAGCTTCAACCCCCAGTGTATCTACTATGAAACGGAACAAATTGCATACAGATATAGAAGACAATAAAGAGACCCACCCTTCTCAGTTTTATCACAGTAGAATTGACCTGTGTTAAAAAAGTCATAGTAGACCAGACAAAACAGCTTGAATGTTTTAAAATATTTAGAACAAAATACCATTTCACGAAACAACTTTGGTGCTTCTTGTCTCTCGCAAAGTGGATTATGATCTACCTTGAATTTGGCACATAAAGTTTGTTAAAGAATATTTTAAAGTTTCAGGCATGACACAGAAAATGATCCCAGTGTTAGTACCAAAGAGTTAACCTGGCTAATGCTGCACTGGAGGTCTCTAATCCAGCAGCAACCTTACCTGTTGGAGCACTTCCTCCTAGTTTTGTTTGAACAGCTGCTAAACTGGAAATGAACTTGTGGATTTAAGAGCTTACAGTCTTTGCCCTGTAGAAGGATAACCAAAAAAAAACCTCCAAAACCGCAAAACCCCAAAACAACTTTTATTAATGGTTCCTTTTTGCCGAATGTCCTTCTCAAAGAAAAACAGAACTGGAACCAACCTCTCTTCAATTATTGTTCAGCAAAGAACATGTGCTTCCCACGCAACAAATGGAATAAGAGAACTGTGAACCAGTTTACTCCCAGTTTACTACTTGCTGGATGTACCTGATGCTGTACAAACATGCCAAGAGACACTTCCCTTTCTTCAGGGGTTTTACAGCTGAAGGTTATGAACACACGATCAATGATATTTGAGGTTTAACTGCATCGCTCAACAGCTGGAACTCCACAGCTGATCACGTATTTGTTTGAGGTCAAGATGCTTATGGGAAATTTATCTTACATAGAATCAATATAACTTCTTATTAAAAGGTCATGGTTTTGTCTCACTGTTGTTTTTAACAAAAGAAATACCAAATTAAAACTGGAACACTTTCTGGTTGTATTTGTAACGGAGGGAGTTCCTGCTTACCAAGACGTCCTCTTAAGGAAAACCTAAATAATGGAATCAAATTCCAGCCTTTAGTTAAACTCTGCTCATTTCCAGGAGCAGGCACAGAATTGGGCTTCAGAGCTCTACACAAGTGTGATCTCACCTTTCCATTCTAGACTGCCTGTTATACATCTGACCTATATAACAGTTTATGCATGTGCACACACTGCTGGTGGTGAGATCACAGCCTTTCAAAAACCTATTTCCTCCTTTACCTGATTTCTAATCAGGACTTGATAGTTTAAATTAAAGGATGCATCAAATCCTTCAGAGTCACACAGACAGACTAGAATTCTGATATTAGCAAATGAAAGGGTATTTTTCACATTAATAAATGGTATCACCTTTTGGCCATAGATCTGATCAGAATGAGAAGCCAAAGGAACCAGTGAGAGTGCCGCTGTTCCCAACATCAGAAATGGGGTTCTCTACACGAGGGACCAACTGTAATGGAAAAATAAAGAGAACAAATGCAATGTTATGATCTGCAGAAAATTACACCAAGTAGGGAAAAGAATCATAGCCTTCTAAAATGGCAGTGACCGCACTTGACTTCAGGAATCTCTCTCCCTCTAGCTTTTCATGTTATTGAGTAAGGTACAACTTACTGTGGGAAAGTCAGTATTTTAGTAAGTGATGATTAACAGACCAACATACAACACTAAAATAATTAACAATCACCTTTAAACCAACAGGTTTCAGTTTATCATTTCTCAAAATCAGGTGAAGAGAACGTCCCCTATTTTTCCCAAAGGCAATACCAAGTAGGAGGCCGTCAATGGAAATTTTTACTCAAAAAAGAAGGGTTTGCTGGTTTGTATTTTTAACTTCTGTTTCTTTGGTTTGTGCCTTTTTTTTTTTTTTAAGCAAGGTTATGATCAAATAGAAATATATTGCATAATGGGAAGTCTGCATTGCATGTAAAACCAATTACACAGTCCATGAATTCAGTAATCTGAAACATTTTACCTCTGACTGCGAGAAATTCCAGGCCCTCATGGAAAGAACAGGGGGGTTCCTGCCACGGCAACACCTGCAGGTGCTGAGCCAGGTGCTGGCTCTGCAGGAGCTGCTTTAGCCCAAAGAGAAAGTTCCTGGAGGACATGATGGAAGAGACACTCACCTGAAGCGGGGCTTCAGCCTCCTGCACCCACTCCTGCTGTTCCCAAGGGGGTCTGGCACTGCCACATGGATCCTCTCTATCCCTTCTTCTACTGAAGCCATTAATAAGATCAAAGCTTCAATTATTTAACTGCTGCAGTTGATGACACACAGCATGAATAATCTTATATATTATATATATATATATGTAGTCACTTATCCAGAAATAATTAAAACAACTTATTAGTTATTTTTCTCAAAAGCAATTATTAACCCTGAACATGTAATAACTCTGAAGCAAAACCCCTATGCAAAATATGTAATATATTACATGATTCTTTTTCTTTCAAAAAAAAAGGTGTTTTTTAACAGCATTGTCCCTCAAAAACTTGGAAACCTTCACTTCCGAATTATTTTCTTTTTTAAGTGTATTTTTTTTCCTTCTGTTGTTCTCCGTGCCTTAGTTTGTATCAACCAAATGGAAGAAGGAAAAATATCAGGACAGAAAAATATAAAGAACTGGACTGAATCTTTGATTTCATTGATGGCAAAAAGACAAACAACAACAAAAAAAAGTCACCCAACTCAGATACGTCAAAAAAGTCATCAACCTAATTCTCCTTGCAGATAATTAAGAAAATATAGCTGAATCACCACTTCACATCTCAGTGTACGGAAGTGGTTGCTTTTGCTACCTCAACACTTAAATTAATTTTTATAATAACTGGAGCAATAAATTAAAGACATCTGGACTAAGAAATACACTGTTCTGATAAACTCTAACAAACTCTTCAAAAACAAAGAGAGGAATATTCTCTACTCCACTTCATAATGCTTATATTTGTCTGTCACACACACAATACACTGGATTTATAGGAACAAATTATTTGTGTGGAACTGGCAGAGTCTCCAAGTTCCATGTACCTCTCAGGAGGCAAAAAGTCCCATGAAGACTTAGCATGCTTATACACATAGGTGGTTCTCACAAACAAGGGAATTATTTATAATCCCACTTTTCCTCCAAAATCTGCAGTAATCCCATTCAATTTTAAAACAAATAAGCATATGCATTTCAACAGGCAAACTAAATGCAATAAAATATTCAAGTGTTACTGTATAACACTTTTTTTTTTTGCTTTTCTGAGTAGCAAATCTCCCATGTGATAAAAAAGATTTGGGTAGAGTGTACCATGAGATAAAGAGCTATGCTGTTCAGTTCACATAAAGGCCCCTGCTGAGGTTCAGAAAGAAGCTGAATTCTTTTCCCATGAAATCTAGAAGGAAAATGTCCCACTGCAAGTACATTTGACAAAACACTGACAGGTCCAAACTGAATATGAACAGTTTGCTAATGCCAGAGCCTTAATATTAACTGCTGATAACTCAGGAATTTCACTGTAACCCTCTGAAGTTACAGTTTTACTGTCCTCACAGATAAAGATTTCTTGGTTATCAGGCTGGGAACTCTTTTGAAGAGTTTTCTGCAGTAAACAACTCACTGATAACAAGAATTTGATTTTTACTTAGTAGTAAAGTTGTGTTTTTCCCAGCGCTCATGAAGATAAATAATGGGGGGGGGGGGGGGGGGGGGGGAAGGTAGCTAAGTGGGATGAAGAAATCCAGAGCATCTGATTCAGCAGGAAATCAAGTAGATGTTAACTCAGCAATTGTAGCTGCTCAAGCCACTCTGCTAAGATGTGTTTCCACTTGCCTTGCCAGCCACAGTGAGGGGTATGAATACAGCACTTGAACCGAATTGCTCAAAGTTTTCACTTTAGTTCTTGTTTCATGTAACCAGAAGAAATAAATCCTCCTCTGCCTCATACTCAATGTTGATAGAATTCCACAGCTTCTGTACTCATACATTTTGGCATCTCAAGAACCAACTCAAGTTAATGACTTTCACATAGCAACAAGAAAGCTGTAAATAAAATGAGACAAAATCACGTTACAACAAAGTGCAGAATTATGACACGGATAAAATAAGCCTGGATGTAATCAGCAATCGATTGGAATGACAAATTCTGCGTGGTTTCACATTAAATAATTTTAATGGAGCCTTGTAGCTTAGATACAGAAACACAGTTGCAGACAGCCAAGGGTTCAGTTGCAAGAGTCCAGGATTTCCAGGTAATGCTATTAATATCTACGTTTCTAGGGATGTAATAAACAAAGACAAGTTTGCTTAAAGCTTTTTTTTTTGCCTTTTTTCCTTTTTCAAATGAAGATAAAAATTTTTCCCCAAGTTCTTGTATCTTCAACTTTTCATTTTCAAGTTACATTATAAATCAGGCAAACGTCTTTCTTTGGTTTTCTTCTACTAGCATATATTTTTTTTTAAAAAAAAGTGGGAAAACCCACATTCCAGTTGTTTCTCCTGGCTGTTCCTCCAAGCCAGGTGAAAAGCCTGGAGTTCGTGCACGCTCAAAAGCACGGCTTTGGATCCCCTCTTGTCGCGGAGGTCGTAATTAGCTGTCGGTCTCCCCGTGGACGTTTTCCATGTGCACTTTGAGGTAGTCATTCCTTGTAAACTTCTTGTGGCAAAGCTGGCACTCCGCCATGGGCCGGTTGGGGTTGTGGGTCAGCTTGTGGCGGATCAGCATCTTCTTCAGGCTGAAGGACAGATCGCACACCTGGGGCAGGGAAGGCAGGACAAAGCCAAATGAAGCCTCGCGACTTCAAGCACGGATAACGCACCTGACGTGGCATCGCCGAAGGCACAGCCACACATACCTGCAGTGCTTAAGAAATGAGGCTGGTCTTTGGAAGAACAACTCCTTCAGAGAGCACCTTAAAGGCTATTGTTCTTGTTTGCTGGTTTGGTGGGTTTTTTAAAGGTTATAATTATTATAAAGGAAACCTCACTGTTTCGGTGTCTCTCTGCCTGGCCAAGAAAATGGAAGACATCTAGCAAAGGAAGGTGAAACTCTTCTGCTTTACTATCTGCTGTGCTGCTTCCCTTCCTCCATTGATCTCCAAGTTGTCCAGTTCATTCTCCATCTGAAGAAATGGATGGAGGGAAGAGGGACTCTGCCATGCTAAAGCCATCGCTTCTTATAAAAATCCCGGTGCTGAGGTTAAAATGAAAACCACGAAAGCTCAGCCAAGAAAAGTTAGAATGAAAAGTTAAGGCAAGACATCAGCTCAGCTAAAATCATGCTGTTATTGTCATGTTCACCTTCCATGCAAGGATATATTGCATGCATGAATTTCTCAGGAAAAGCAAAAAAAAAATAAGGAAGTATGCTGCTGATTGACAAAGAGAATAGGCAAGACTCAGATAATTAAACAAGAGTGAACACCCACAGGTTTGCAAACTTAAAATTCCAGGTTAATTCCTGACAGAGATCTCTGTCATGCAGGGAAAAAAAAAGTCTCAGGGAAGCCAGGACAATCCCTCTTCAGAAACACGAAGCTTTGAATTCACATTGGTGTCAAACTAATGAAAATGCTGAGGGACTCCTGATCTCCTGATTCCTTTGGAAACCGAGACAGACAACAAGAGACGAGCGGATAATTTTGACCTCCAGTACATGTATTTTATGCCAATTAAGGCAAAATCATGCAATGACCATAAAAAGGGCAATTGCCAGAGGCGAGTTTTTGTCCCCACAGCGTTTCCCCAGGCAAGGGCACTGTATGTGTTGTTGCAGTGGAACATTTTTGGCTTTATGACATGACATAATAATGAGGACTTTTACACAGCAACTTTAACTGTCCAACACTTTCCCCTCACTGTATAATCATCTCTTTCAGACCCAAGCAACAGCCACCCTTCTGTTATGTGTCCTCCTGCCCCTCCAAGGCTCTGGCAGTTTTGGGGGATTTTTTTAAGGGTTTGCCCCATGTATCAGTTTTTTAAGCAAGACTGGTATTTTGCGGATTTACAGGCACTCTTGCTAATGCGCACTCGAACTCTAATCAATCTCTTCAAAATGATCAAAGTTTTGGGCAAGTAGGGAGGATAGAAAAGACTGACATTTGAAAGTAAGTGTAGGGTCAACTGAAGGCAGAGTGCAGGGAAATACTGTACTGGACAGAAACCAGGACAGGCAGCACTTGACCTTGCTGCCCCCAAAAAATCATCTGGTGTCTCTGAGGCAACTGAAGTTCAATTGGCCTTCCAGCAAAAAACAAACTGGCCTTGAGAGGACAGAAATATTACATATTAGGGAAAACTGCATTTTGTACCTTCATATTTCAGTTATTCTCACTTTCCTACGAGACGTGTATTAGAATTTTCATCTTAAAATGAGAATATTCATTTCCCACTGTTATCTGTGGGATGCAAGAGACAAGAGACACCAAGTTCTGCTGACTGATAGGACACAGCAATAGGCACACAAATAAAACTGTAGCACCCTCATCTTAATCTTTTTAAAGCAAAAATACCATCTAAAAAAAAACCTGGGATGTAGTATTCCACAGTTAAGAATGTGGGGAGGCTGTTGCCATAAATTACCACTCAAGTCATTATAAGAAAAATAACATCTACAGCTTTCTTGAGCAGGATAAAAAATTATAGGTGAGAATAGCTGAGTGCAAAAAGAAAATTCAGTATCAGGTAGCCCACAATAAATGTCTCCCATAGGTACATTTTTCTGCAATTGTTCTCTACTGGTTTTCCTGCAACTTCTACTGGAACATCTGGTAACATGCACTGTGCAAGAGAAGGACTAGGACTAGGCACAGATTCCAACTGTTCCTAGAAATGCTGTGATTTGAGAAAGTAAATTCTAGTTAATTAATGAGGAAAACTGAAGGAAAAGTTGAAGCAGGAAAGGATGTTTTCATGCAGCTCCCACTTTTAATTAAAAAAAGGAAAAAGGAATAAAAAGAGAACCACCGTATCAAATCAGTCTGAAAAAAGCACACTGTGAATCCAAGAGCAGTGAATCTTGGATCCACAGTGTGGGAAAGATTGCATTTACACTGCAAGCTGGCCAGCAGCTGATAAACAGTACAGCAATCTGAAAAAGTTATTGACAACGAGGTGGAGTTAGAGAAATCCTCCAGGTACTATCTAGAGCCAGACTGAGATTAGCCCAAAAGAATACAGCAAATCTCCTCGCTTGTAGACATCAGCGAAATATTTGAGCTGAACTTTTCCATGAATTTAATATATTTTATTCTCAATGAAATGACATCAGATTATTCACTAAAAACCAGGCCAGTTAACAGACCCTTGCAACTCCTCCTGCCAAGCTGTTATTCTAACTTTGCATCTAATTTTAGCAGGTTCTGAGCAAATTTACAACTGCTCAGACTGAGCCATCGAGGACATAACGGAAAGCTGGCAGCCTTGGGACAGATTCATCAAGAGCCAGTATCACAACACAAAGTCCCTATACTAATTCTATGCCCTGTTCTGATGCCTTCCCCTAAATCCTTGAGCAACAGCTTGACATTTTGGCATTTCATAGTTCTGAAAGACATTATTTCCCACCAGTTTGTGCACATTCAGCCCCCCCAAAAATACCTCCCAAAAGCTGAGATGTCGTGTACAAATGGGGTGTGTGGAGGAAAGGTACCTGACAGTGATCTATGGACTGTAACCTGAGAGGCTCCATCTCAGCGCTGCAACTGTGCACAGCACCCCAGACTGCTCCACTGAATGACAGGAAAATGAGCACATGTTGAAAATATCAGACCAGATTTCAGTAGAAACTGGAAATGTTTGTGTCATTCACCATCAGAAGCATTCAGATTCCATGTAATAAATTAGATACCTTTTCCTACGTAAGTTAATCTCCAACTATTAACCTGTTGCACGAATTTATGTGGGAACCCACCCAACCAGCGCGACTTTGTAACTTGTAACATCCAAATTGCATTAATAATGGTGAAAATAACTCTTATGGGATCCAAACCCATAAAATAAGAGGGTGTGCAACGCTCTTGGCAACCAGAGAGGGTACATAAAATTCTCTGAATGGCCTTTCAATGTCTGGGTAATCAAAGGCCAGATGAAGTGTAACTTTATGCCACAGCCAAGAGGCTCAAGGCCGTGGTCTCCCTGGAATTAGGTCCCTCTGCTGCACCAGAGCCAGGAAGACAAAGGGACAGTTGGACTCACGTCACACTGGAACGGCTTCTCTCCGGTGTGGGTCCTCATGTGCTCGTCCAGGCCCCGCTTCTGACTGAAAGCCTTGTTACACTCCGAGCACTGGTACGGCTTTTCCTGCGCGGAATGACAACAGCGAGTGAAAGTGAGTCAACACAGAGCCCGAGTCATTAAAGGGGTGGAATTCCATGCTGGATGGTGCAAGTTTTATATTCTCTCTAAGGGATTACAGTCAGTGAAAACAACAGCAAACGACTTTCAAATGATGAAGTGAAAGCTGGGAAAGCTGGGGCCTGACAGTTTCCACTTCAACACCCACTTAGGAATTAATTATCTGTTCCAGTCCTTCAAACCCAGCCATTTTGGGAGTCTGCTTTTTGTCACCTGAAAGGTACAGAAATGTAAAATTCCAGTGCGCTTTGCTTTATCCTCCACAAATGCTTAAAGCATCCGGACAAGTAAAATTATCTACAAAACCTCAGGTTTGTTAGCAGGTTTCTGAGCAGGGGAAGAGGTGAGGAGAGGGAGAGAAGGTACAAGGAAAGCTTGTGGCAGAGCAAACAGTTCTTTTGAGAAGTGGTGACAGAAGGTTAATCACATATTCATCGCAGAATCTCAAAAGAAGTGCAGATGGTAACCAAGCCATCTGTATTTTTATTAGAACTATTGGTTAGCTGCTACTGTAACACGTGATGTTATAAAAGTTGCAATCTCACTGACCTCAAAGAATTAGAGATATGTAAGGAAAACCACTTAGGTAAAGATTTTTTTTTCCTTTAAAGTTCTTCCTGAATATAGAAATTCATATAAGGTGTATTTCCACCTTGATTCCACTAAAGTTACCAAAGAACTGTATGGGAATCAACACTTAAATAAATCAAAGATCAAAGTTAGCATTATAGCACTGCACATGGCCTCATTAAAATTTTAATGCTGTTGAGGCACCTTTAGTTTTGAATCAACCATACTTCTTTCATCCTCCTTTTTCCTGTGGACTCTAATTCTGTATTGTTGAAGTTCTGAGGAAGGGTATTTTAGGCAAAGTAAACAGTTTTCACTGTATTAAATTGAAAGCATCGACTGAAAATCAATAGGCCATGTTAAAAGTATGAATTAAAAAATAACAGGCAGCGAACTCAAAGTCCTTTTGGGAGATAATGTGGGAATCAAGGAAAGCGAGACAGAACAACTCAGCTCAGGTGTTAAAGCAAGAAAGAGAAAAGTTCTCTGGTTATTGAATCCCTGTTCTGAGTTATGTTGGGAACAACCAGGTCTCCATACACCCAACACAGTGGACTATAAATTAGGGCTGTTCTGAGGGTATCCCAGTCTCTCTTTAGGGCCACTTTTTGCAGGTCCAGAGACCCCAGCAGGAGTGAACATGAGGTTGTTCATTTTGGAGCCCCCACCCATGAGGTCTCCTAGAAGAGGCAGCGTCATTTCCATGATTCCTCAGTATAAAGGAAAACATAGCAAATTATCTAAAAATCAAAAATCAAAAATCATCATCTAGACCAAAACTTCAAGTCATAGGGAGCTTTGCTGGACTGACTGAAGGCTTCATGGAGCAGGACCGCATTTCCAAGGGAATTGTATGAATAAGTCGTATGAAAAGCAGGTTTGTGCAACAACCCTTTAATTGGTTTTGCATTGTGGCTAACACAAACCACATTTTTGTGAGTCCTCCAAAACCAGCCTTTCTCTGGGCAGGTTGTTGCACAGAAAGTGCAAAGTAGAGTATACGACGTGTACATCTTAAACACCTCTGGAAACACTCACTCCTGCGAACTGCACCAGGTGGACTCGCTCCCTTCTCTCACCTGGTTCTTCAGGTACCTCAAGAGCTGTCTGGATCATGAGTGGCTCATTCATTGCAGAGGTAAAGGGACTGCAGGATTCCATTCTGGAGAAGGAGCCATTATACACTCTGGGAAGCTGAAGCCCCAAACCTGTCACCTTCCCCCAGGTTGTTTGGCTATTTGCATTGTGCCCTGTGGCAGAAAAGGGTGTATCCAACCATCCCCTTGGCATTTGTATTCCACATGGAGTGCATGAAGCTCATCCAGAGCTTTGATCTAATTCTAGATGTCTCACATCTGTGTATTGGAGTGAGTCCATCAGACACCACTGTGATTCCCACCAGCCTCGTCTCCCCTAAGCAAAGCTGCCCTCCACTCACATCTGTGCCTGTCTCAGTAATATAAGCAGGGCTGCCCAGAGCAAAAACTTGGCCCTGAGTTTATCTTCAGAGAAAAAGTCTTTTGTTGGTTGTTGGTTTCAAAGAAGACATCATTCTCAGAGACTAAAACCAAAACATTCTGTGCTTTTTCTTTTTCTCTCTCCTCCTTCTCCTCCTCTGGTATCAAATTCCCATTGCACAATACTTGGAGAAAGCAACATTTGTAACATGGAAAAGAACATGTTTGCTTGGCAGAACCACCGCTGCTCTAAACGTGAACAGAAAACAAAAAAAAGAGATAAAAGCCACAGCAACAGGTCTGAAAAAGCTAATGCCACCTCAGAAGGACAACAGGGACCAGAGATGAGATTGGAAGGAAGTTGGACACATTTAAAACACGAAGCAGAGGGAAAAACCTGCTGACTGTCAACAGAACAGGAGCTCATTGGGAAGATCATCCAAGTCTGACTTCAGAGGAGTCAGCAACTGCTAGAACTATAAATCTGCCCTCTGTTGAAAAAGCATCTGCCAGGCCATGACTGGGGTGGCAGCAAAGGCAAAGGATTACATGTGTTTTCTTTTATGGATGACACTAACGAGGAAGGGAGCGGGGAGAGCGAGAGAGACAGGACGGAGTTGATCCTGCATTGATTTAATAGCCCAGTTTTAAGCAGGCCAGGTATAAATGGAAGCAGGTAAGTCAGGATTTACAACCTCCCTGCCTCAAAACAGGGAAAGGCCAAGCAGAGCCCAAATGGTATTCTGGAAGGTGCTTTGCAGTAAGACCGGCATGTAACTTAAAAGCTCCCATCTCTGATGATTTTCACTTCACTATGTTAAAACGGAGAGGAAATCAACATTTTAACAACTCTGACAAATTAAACAGTGCCTGCAGTACACACTCAGCTGTCTGAATCACAAACCACACCTTGATTTGCCATTGGCACCACCCTCAACAGCTCCATGGAACACGTGCACAGAGCATCCTGCAACCACGGCAGATGGAAACACTGAAATGCAGAATATCTGATCTGCTCTGTACTTGATTCTACCTCCCTTAAGAAATGTAAGTACATTATGTGTATTAGCTGAGCACCAGTGCATGTGGTTGTTCCTGGAAACCTGGTCAAAAGCCTTAGGCAGGTAAAACATGAATGACTTTGGGAGAAGTGCCTCCAATCTGAATTTAGAACAGTTCAATGAGCTCGACAGCAGTGGCGAGACAAATATAACCTAGCCACTATTATATCCAAATAAATCATGGCTCAAGGTTCACATAAATGAGAGTTAAAAACAGTTCTAGCAACTCTTTCAAAGAACAATTTAAAACCGAGCTGAAGTCACACTCCAGAAACCTTATTCTTTACTTTTTGGTTAAGCTAATTTATTACAGTGATTTCAGAAAGTGAACTTGACTACCAAAATGTTACTCAATAATCCCTTTCAACTGACATACAAAGTACACTGAAAATCCCAGAGCTATCTTGCGCCTAATTTCTCTCAAGCTAATATTTTTATATTAGCTCATGAGATGTAGGTACAGTCCTGCTTTCCAACTGCTTTCTATGTGGCCTTTGAAAACACCTGTATTACTCCCAATGATCATCGTTTGCTGATTCATGTATTTGCACTATCATTTGAATATAGAGGGTTAATAAAAAAATTGTGGTTAAAAAAAAAAAAATCAGTAAGAATGGAAAAACGTTGCCTAGAATGAACAAACGTGACCAGAGAGATAACATGGAAATAAACTAGTCAGATGTGCAGCTAATTTCTCTGGCAGAAACCTGTAATCCCTCCAGCTTTGCCAACCTGAAAATGCAGGAAATCAGCTTTCAGATGGGGAGGACAGCGACAAACTTCTTCAGGAAGCATTACCTGAAGGGCACCTCAGGCACTGGGGGAGTGATGCTCAGTTTAAGTCAGCTTAAGTCACACAGACCCTTTGCTTCATGTGTTTTAAACTTTTTCCTAACAGCAACAACACTTTGCTTTAATTCTTGCTGGTTATTAATGTTGATGTGTCCCTCAGGAGCCCTTTGGCCGCTTGTACATGGAAAACATCAAAAGATGGTGACCAGAGCAGGTACCGTCCTGCCAAAAAACCCACCTGAAGGGGAACCCAAGGAACAATTTAAGGGCTACACCACAGCCTGAAAAGCAACATCTAAAAGGTTTGGAAACATCTAAAAGGTTTGGAAATATCTAAAAGGTTTGGAAACAACACAGGGCTCATGAAGCATAAAATCCCAGCTTCCATCTAAACTGAAGGGCTGGGAATTGAGCTATAAAGCAGTAAGACAGCAAAATGCCACAGAAGCACGGATGGTTTCTGGAGCTGAGGTTTAGTTACGTTTCAGCCCTAGAAAACCCCAACCCTAAGGTGATTAACATCAGAAAAATGCCATCACTGGTGTTTTCTGTGAGGTCATCACCACTGGCAATATGTTCCCTAGTGAGATTAGAGGAAAAGTCACTTCAGATCACAGATGGTGCAAGTTAATGGAGGCCAGTTTGGTATCTGAGAGTGAAAAATGTGCAAGAAATAACGAGATGCTCTCCCAGTAACTAGAAAGGTTTTGGGAATTACAGCAGAGACAGAGACCTTCTGAAACCATCAGACTTGCACTGAATTCCTAAGGTAAAACTGGCATGGGAAGACAAAGGTTGATGAGAATTTACAACTCTGCAAGAGTGGCAGGCATTTCAATCTTATAACGATTAGAACTCAATTTAAAAAAAAAAAAAATCACTTTACAACTACACATTTCCTCAGTTGAGAAGTAAAATCCCTTTAAAAAAAACATTTCCAATAAATCCATTCCAATTTCAACTTCCCTGTTGAAACAACTGTGAAAGAATTTTGGCAGATTTCAAACAAAAAAAGTGACTTTTATTAGAAGTGACTAATGTTTTTGTTAGAACAGGTCTCAATTCAGTATTAGGGGTATTGAAAAAATATCTCTTCTTTGCAATAAATTTTATAATGAAAACAAAAACATGCATCTTCACTGAAATTGCTGACAGGAAAAAAAATTAATTTCTTCAAAAGTTCCAGTATAAGCAATCAGTTGGATTTTACCATACCATTAACTTTCCATTTTCCATAGTAGTTCTGCCTATTTCCTACCTGTAATTTGAAAAGTTTTGATTTCTTTGGGGTTTTTAAACTTTAAAGGTATTTTTTTCCTTTTAAAGATTTAGTGAAAGAGGGTTTATTTAATCAGCCATGATGAAAATTCACTAGATGTTCATTTGCTCCTGGAAAAAGAACAGTATCAATAGAGAAAAAAGTACATTTTCACTCTATGAGGAAGGAACGATCATCAGTCACCATTCCATAAAAAAAAAAAAAAAAAAAGTGTGAAAATATAGGTGCAGTGGGATTCAAACCTTCCACACTATGTGTGCAAACACAGATTCCACAGGCAAGGAAACCACAGCCCTGGCAAAGTCATCATCCTCACACAGATGTTTGGGAACTCACTCATATCTCACCAACAGGGAAATACAGATAAAACCCAGTATGGAAAAAAAAAAAAAATCCAAATTCAATCAACACTTCATATTATTTCATTTCACACTGTCATGTGCACAGAAGACTCTTTATATCCAAAGTCTTTTTTTTTTTTTTTTTTTGACAATAGCATTGTGTGCTGCTTCTAGAACACATGACCCTTTTGCAAACCTTAAGCTCAAATATTACCTGGGAAACACAGAACAAGTGAAATTATGCCATGATTGTCAATATTACTCTGGCATTAATTTTTGTTTAGTATTATTTTAATATTCTTCTGGGTTAAAGAAGAAAAGAGGGGGCAGTGTTACATTATATATATATATATATACACACATACATGTATGTATAAAAGTACATCTATATGTAAATATATACACTGGCCAAGCAGCAAGTTAAGTCAGTTGCAGAGTTACAAAAATGTTCTTATCACTTAATTTTCTATGCCTTGCAGAACAATCTCTGAACATTAGGTGCTTTTTAAAAACTTAATTAAATACGTGTTTTAAAAAGGTAGGCACTTCTGCATGGGAAAAAAAAGGGACCTACAGATATACTAAAATGTTGTAGTTTAAACTACCTCAGAAATGTGCAATTTGAGCATTACAGGCAGCCTTCTACCCACCAAAAGTCAGATTTTTAAACAAGCTATGAAAAGTACACATATCTGTTATATGGAAATGTGGAATATGCAAATCAAGGGATGAAAAGCCATTTGCACGTTGCTTCCACTCTTGCTGTTTTCCATCCCTGAAACAACCTGTAACGAACCCAGCATCTCCAGAAGTAATTAAAACACCAACTTGACGTGACGATAACTCCGGGCACTTATCAATGAGCAGATTTCCAAACATCAGCAGTTCTGTTGCGGCCACACACAGGAATTTCTGCACATGTTTAAGCTCAAGCCCTGTAATATGATGTCTAAAGCCTTAGGAAGGAGGTGATGTTCACTGCCATGTGCTTCCTCTGAGCTGATATGGCCTGTAAATTCATTTCACCAACAACTTCAATGAGTTCCTCATTTATGCTTTCCTAGGCTGTTATATTTCTCCTTAAGGAAAAAAAAAAAACAACCCCACACCATCAAACCATAAACCAAACACATCTACTTTCAGAGAAACAAATCAGCACTCAGGTGACATTTTAATATTAGGGGGTCGGTGTTTTCTCCCCTTCCATGCTCAGTGGGGTTTTGGCTTTCCTTCTCTGTTGACTCCAGAGTTGGAGCTGACACCTGTGGCCACCCAGGTTGTGCTCAGTTTAGCAGCTGCCAGACCTTAATCAACTTTCTGCAATGATTTTTCCAGCAGCCTTCCCTGATCCACAGCGGCAGGTTTGGCATTTAATCCCACTGGTAAAACACATCTAGATTTAATCTCCACAATGACATTTTCCTTCTTCAGTGTCACAGTATTACTTTGTAGCTACTTCACAGTCTTTCTGGTCAAAAGACCAGACATTTTTTTTTAAAGATATTTATGAGAAGGGTGCTATGATTGTGTTCATTTCTACATTGTAGGCTCAGCTGATACAAAAATGCCTTCTGGATTTATCTGTCCAGCTCTACTTAGATATTAAACAAGGTGCTGAAATGTGAAGAAGAGGGAAAAGTTGGAACGTGCAGGATTACAGCAACAGGCTTCCATTTTAAAAGTTACTAGTCTTGTTAATGTTATTCATGTTGATTCTTGTTACCTCAAAGCACCACAATATTTACGTGGGGATAAATGAATGAATGAGCCTCACTGTGACGTTTTGGAACAGGAGCAGGACGACCACAAAGAATCAAAACCTCAAACCCAAGCTGTGCCTGCAGGTTTTAATCCTAGAGCATAACTGTGAAGATGACCAGGGGTCTGCTTGGCACACACAGACAAAAAAATAGAAACACTGAAATGTCACCTTTCAGCTCCAGATGATCAAGACATGGCAAGTGCATGGAAACATATCACATTTGGTTTGAGGGGTTGTTGTTTTTACTCAAACTGTGTGACAGATGAGGAACAAATGAAATTTGGCACTGTTTCAGAGCTTGTTTACCCCTTCTCCCACACACAGCCACGTAGAAGTTATTTGGTCATTGAAACTTCTCTTGGTGCAAGCACAGTAATGTGGGACAGCGACAACAGAAAAGAATTTATAGCATTTCTGAAAGTGATTTAACAGCTGGAAAAAAGGAGAAACAACTAACAACATGGGACTAGCCTGCTCCCAATGAACCAGCAGGAAGCACTGCACAAACTACTGATTACTTCTCTTGGTTGGGGTGAACCAGCTAAAACTTCATCTAGGACCTCTAGTGCCATTTTACAGAGACAGAAAGAATCAAAGCACTGGATGCTGAAGTTTCAATAACAGTGAAGCATTTACAGGATTGTTTACTCAGTCAACAAAATTAATTTATGTCTATAAATAACCACAGCTTACAGGAAGATGTTAGTACTGCTATTATTTCAACATGAAAGAAACCAAACACAGAAAAAAATAGAAGGTCAGTAAGGGAGTCACAATTAGAATTTATAAGTTAATGAGTTGAGTCTTTGCCTCTTATTTTGATAAGTATTAAATACCTTGGTTGGCACGGGCTAATCCCTACACAAACAGCCCTTAATTGCTTTTCACCACCCCTGATTCCCAGGCAACCCTCCAGCAACCATAAAAAGCTCGCTCCACTTCCCCCCCGTGTGGGACTTACCCTGGTGTGGGTGCGGATGTGCATCTTCAGGCCGTCGTTCTTGCTGAAGGCTTTGTCACAGTAAGGACACTGGTAGGGCCGCTCACCTGGCAACAGGAAAAGCAGCACAGCCCATAAATATGAACTCAGGACATGCAGGCCTTGCAGCACAGCTGTTTGTCAAGTAAAAGTGCTTTTTGCTGGCCTTATCTCCACGCTCCGTTCCAACGACTGCAGAACTAAGCATTAGAAAAATTACAAATAAAGGTCCACCTGAGCGGGATGCAGTGCTGGGTCAAAGATATTCCTCTCTGCTGGTTGATTTTGTGCTAGCAAGATATGAATACACACAGACAGCCTTGGGGAAAAAGAAAACAAAAAAGAAAACACCTAATGCCCTTGCTCAAACCACACTCTCCAGTGATTTACACATGGTCACTTTTATGGTTAGGCATTAACTGCTCCCAAATATTTCTTCTATTTCACATCTGGTCGTTATTAGAGGCCTCTGGTGTCAGAATCCCAATGAAATAGAAAATCTACTCTTTTTTAATGCCGCATCTGAGCTGTGTTAGAAGCTAGTTAATCAAAAGTTTCTGCAATTTTTGTGTGGCAATTTATGACTGAAATGGAAGCACAACAATCTCAGCATCTCCCTTTGCAGCCTCCCGTATCTTAAGGATATCTGTTTAACGCTCCATTAGACTGGTGTCATTTGGCATCGATTTTCCCAACCTCACATTAGTGTAATGTGGATACTGAGCTGTTCAGAAACAAACAGTAAAGAGTTTCTGAGCGGCATCATTTGGAAGAAATGCATCTGAATTTTTAACTCTTCAGGCAACGCTCTGGACTCTGAGTCTATTGCCTCCTCTTCCTGTAGACAGCACTTTAAAAAGCAAAGACCAGACTGTTTCCATTGCAAAACACCATTCAAAAAATTAGGACAGTAGCCAGTTTGCTGTTAGCAACATGAATTTGCTCTACACAACCACAAGGTGTAACAAACCTTTATTGGAAAATGCAAGTTAAGCAAAGCCTATTCTGCTAAGTGAATGCGTTGTTTTCCACTCACAGAGGAATTTATGCATCTATAGAGAGATTTAACATAGTCCAAATATCAAACAATTACTAACACTCATACTCAACCCTGGAAAATAGGCAACCAAGATTACAACATTTTACAGTTAAAAACGCTTCCTTTCTGTCTTTTATTACTGTTTAGGTACCCCTGTGAATGACAGTAGCACAACATCACACAGCAAAGCACTTGTGAAGCACAAATATTTTCCTCTCTTGGGTTCTGCCATCTCTCAGAAAGCACAGCTCTGGGAACTTGGTTGTTTGGGGTTTTTTTTTCAAGGATGATGACAACAATCACTGTATTATAGCTGTGTTCTCATCGAGCAGTTTGATATATGATACTCTCTCTCCTGACCCTCAGTGCCTTTAATCCAGGCCTCCGAAATTCAAACACTCCAACAGTTGTCAGTACTCAAATATTTAATTAATTCAGCTGACATTTTTACGTCTCAGGGCTTTTGAATGCACAAGTTCAAGCTTTCAGCAGTTTGTAAGCAGATGAGCGCTGACAGGTAGGAGTTGTACCCTCCTCCCTCTCTCCCCCACCCTCGAGTTTCTTTCAAGAGGAAAACTTTTGCTTTCAAAGGATGGGTTTGAGTTTGTCTGTTTTGCATTAACAGTGTCCTTCTGACACCAACCATGGAGACCACGGGGAGAAGGCGTTAAGAGCTTGCAGGAGATGCCAGCAGAGGGCAACAACAGGACTCCACACCAGCACGTTACACCTGAGCAGCTTTTCTGTACTGCCCATTTTCAAACATCTTCACTGCTCTAAAAAGCGCCAAGTTTATTATGGAACCCCAGCCCTGACTTGACACTGAAGCTTGGGGACATCTTGCTTTTTCTAAATCATACAAACAATTTCTCATGCACTTTTGTCATTAATAATTACCAATAAAACTACCTAAAAGACCCACCCCAAGTAATTTTACTGTGGCTCTTCTTTTCCTGTTCTTCTCTTTCCCTCATCTTCGCATCCTGAATGCTTCAAATGTACACAAGTGTCCTTGTGCTTCCACGAGCAACTGTAAATGGCTAACTTCAGCAGAGCTTAGAACTGGCACTAAGAAGAACTGGAGGACAAGTGGGATGTGCTAAAAGCTCCTGGGAAGGTGACATTATCCATCAGTGCTTTCGCACTCACCTACAGTCAGGCAAAGGCCAGCAAAACCCAATTATAAGCGTAGGAATATTAAACTTCAAGTCAACTCATGCACAGTAAATACTTGGGAGATTTCCAGAGGCAAAACTTCTCTGACCAGGAAAGGAATGGATCTCTAATGAGGAGACTGAAAGTGAGAATAACCAAGATATAAGCAAAGGAACTGTTCTTTCAAGTCATGCATCTCTGTTTCTCTTCCCCTCACAAGAAGGGGTTACTAAGAACTGAAGTAAAAGAACATGATTTCTCCTATGATGAACTCCAATTTCTCCTTGGATTTACTGTTAGAAGCATGTTTATGAGGAATGGTGTCAAAGTGTGGGAACAGCACACTAACAGGGAATGTGCCTTAAGTAAAGTTGATGCAAGTAATAATTACGCCATTATGCATTTTTATATAAACATATTTTAATATATAAATATATATATATATGTAATGTTTGGAGGGTTTTTTTAATCTGATTTCTACATCAACATAAGAATAATGGGGGGGGGGGAATCTTTTAACTTTTAAATACACTGCTCAGCCTTAACTCTAACTTCACTAAACTAAGACCAATTGCTACCATTAAAACACCAAAGCACCCCAGCGAGTCAAATGTACCAAATGTCACGTTTCCCCTGGAGTTACAGCTGCCTGGCATGGCCCTGCTGTCCCACAACAAACTGCTCAGCACACTGATGGCCCCGCTGTACAAACAGCCCCCAATAAATAATCCTGGGATAAATTGCAGAGGATTTACCATAATTCAAAGTCTAGACATTCTACTGCCAGATTTCGTACGAACAGAAAAAAAAACCCCGCAGCTTTTAACGTCATAAAAATACATTTAACCTTAATACAGGGATTATGAAAAACAATTCCGTGATTGAAAAACATATGGGATTTTGATCTGAAACCATGTCAGGACAGAACAGATACCTTTTTTTTCCCCTCAAGTGTGTACATCTCTAAGCTGGAGATCACACTACCTACTGGACCTTAATGTAGCAGCAGAAGTTAAACATCAGATTCCTCCATTCCAGTTCAAATCAGGATGGACAATTTCCCATGAGACGTTTGCGATCAAAGGTGCTGTTTGATCTGCCAAACTCAGATACCCCAGGAGCAAAACAATGAAGAAACAAAGCCAAATCCACATTAGTTTTTTTTTTAAGATTTCAAGATTTCAGTGGCTACAGCTTGACATTTAATAAGGACTCTGAGACACAACAATTCAAGTCAGTCAGATGTGCAGCTATTTGCACACCGGTTTGCATTCCCTCGAGTCAGCTGAGCCACAAAAAACATAAACCAAACTGTTTACAAAGTCAGATGTCTTTATTAGAACTGAACTGCTGTATTAAGGAGTGTGGAATTTCAATTATGCAGCAAAATTACCAGGGTGGGGGAGTTTTTATATACTTTTTAATATGTCTCTGTTTGGTCATTTGGGGTATTCAGCAGCACTGGTCTAAGTCAACACTCATGAAAATCACAAAAAGCCCTATGACAGACTGCCCTGATACTGTTCAGTGAATTCAACTGCAAAGAACCTGTTTTCTTTGGCTTTCTTAAAGAAATAAACAAATATAATTATAGCAATGTGGTCCTTCCAACCCTTCCACAGACCATTAACCATTTATATTTACTAAATACAGTTCCTTTTCCACCTTCTAAATATGGTTCCTTTTTAGGTGCTGAACCACTTACTATAAGGATTAGAAGATTATTTTGTGTATATATATATATATATATAATTTCAAAATGTCAACTTTCAGAACAGTTATGGTCAAGTCTAAACTTTTATATATAATGGTCCAACTTCAGACTGGGGCAGGGGAGGGGGGATGAAGGGAGACTCCACCATCACCCAACCGCAGTGGGAAGGCAGCAGTTCACCTGGGGAGGAATCAGGAGGCCAGGGGGCCATCTGGATCGCACATGCAACACTCCAGGCCAGATGATCCACAGGGCAGCCCAGAATGGGAATTGCAGGAAGGCTCTTTCAGTCAGAGATAAGCTGGGGCGATGACAGCATTCAACGGCACGTGAGGATGGGCAGAAGGTGAATGGATGGAACAAAACTCTAATCTGGGACATATGCCTTGGAAAGCTGGCTGCTCACACAGAGCACCTGACAGCCTCCCACATTTACCCTCAGCTGCCAGGGCAGCTCCCTCTGCTGAAAAGAACTTCATTAGGAATCAAAATTAAATTGAACAGGAACTTGAGGAACTCAGTGATTTCAACAGAGTTTCAAATTAGAAAACGCCAGAAAAACAATAACTGAATGCAGAGTAAATATTCACACTTCAAGAATATATTCAGTAGATTTCAGCACTTTGGTGTTGTACAACAACTAAACACTCAAAATTTAGCCCTTCGGAAGGTACAGAAGTGCCCACACAGGATTAGCTTTCTCATGCCAAGAGCACCACGACTTTGTGATTTGAAAGGTAATTTTATCCTCACGGTGAGCCAGAAAAAGTCATTGAGTGCTCTGAGTCCTGTTCTCTGAGAGGCAGAGCTCAGGTAGGGGTCAATTACAGCTATTTCTTACTTCATGTTAACCAACAGTCAAATCTGGCAGACTTAGCTATGCTTTAATACTTGAGGTATGGAAGTGGTGTTTTCACAGCTAAGAACGTCTGGTTTCTGCAAAGTTTTGGGTTCATTCAAAGAATTCAGATTACCTCTAGTTAAGACCAGCAGATAAAATGTTTGTCCTATCTGGTCCATCAAAATTGTCATGATATAACTGAAATATTGGCTATTTGTAACTAAATAGATCATAAAGTCTAAGTAAAAAGCTCTTACAAAATAAGAAGACTGACTCCCTGCAGTAAAGCATGAACTACCATTATTACTTAGAGACTCTCGTCAGTTCTACAGTGATATTAAGGTTCTTGTAACAAATAAAAACCCCACACACTTCCTTTAAATAATAAACCTGTTTCATTCTTTGCATCTATCAGTGGAATTAAGGAGTTCCCTGTGGATGTAGAACTAACATCTACGACTTCAGTGAACCCAGTGGTCAACTAAGTCTTTAAAATCCCATGCATGAATCAATCAGTAATTCATCTGATCTAAAGATGTCACTAATATTCCAACAATCTACCCCTTAAAGGAGCATTGCTTCATTCATGGCTACAGCCAGCAAGAAGCTGGCAGCTGGATGAAACTTTACAGGTATTTTGAAAGATTTAAGCGTTGCCTAGAGATAAACAGGACAGTGATGTATAAACTGAAAGGTTTAGAAATGCAGAATCCTTACCTTTGAGGCCTCCTGCGAGCTCCTTTTTTAAATTGGGTAGATAAAAGAGAGACCATTTATAAGTTATTGAATAGCAACAACCTATCTGCAGACATTTGCAAGCTGTTCACTGACTAGACACAGATACATCCTTTCACATACTTCACTGTGATACGAGAGGAAGTTCCTTCAAGCTTCCCTTTTATCTTTTTTTTTTCCATGAAAGAAAATATAAATTATTTATAAGGTAATTTGCCAGAAGATCTGCTGGAATGAGGATCCTGCCTGTACATTATTATGTACCTGAACGAACAGTTGCTTGTTTAGCTATTAAACTTTTGGTGACACATTTTAGCACTGTAATAAAAGAAATTTATACTGTACTTGAACACATTACTTCCTTCAACTACTTCGAAGCCTACTGTGGTTAGAGCTGATTGAATTATGTTAATAACCAAAGATTTTTATTATGACTCCACAACTAATATTTTGGCGGTTGTTGTGTGATAGCAAAAGCAAGATAAGGGTATGTTTCAATCTATATTTGCATGTAAAAGCATTTTCTGAGGACATTTATGGTCATTAGTTGTCCCTCCTACCAGTGTCTATGTAACAGTAGGCAAAACACAGCATGGAAAGGATGGGATTACAGTCAGAACCCACAACTCTTTTCACTCTAAAACAAATTTAGTCTCAAATCTAAACTATTTCACAACAACTGTCACCGTTGCACGGCTAATTAGGAAAGCAGCAATGTTTTTATCAGGCAGATAAAAGGTGTGTATACACAGATTACCCAGGCACACACAAACACAGGACAGCAGTTAACAGGTTCAAAAAGCTAGCTGTGAGGCAACTGGGAAGCTGCCCAAACCCATAGCCAGTCACTGTTAACACTGAAAGCTGCTCAAAACTTTAGGGAATTAGCAATTAACCTCCCAGTCCCCAAGTTTTCAAGCCCGAGGAGCAGAGCACAGAATTTCTTTTACAATTTATGAACCAGCCAAAGAATTTATACCACAGCCAAAGGATTCTTTTGCAGAATTAACCCCAGCTCCCCCTGACCCTAAGAATGTGCTCCGGTGCTTGAGCTGACCCGAAGAGCCCTGGCTGTGCAGTGCCAGGGCTGGGAGGCAGCTGATGGATTGCAGAGCAACGCCCCGGGCTCCGAGGCAAACATCACCCCCTCCCCTCTGCCCACGCACACGTGGGCACTCACCACAACCAGCTCAGCCTCTGCAAAGGGCCAAGTACCACCAGAAAATGGGATAATGCGAAGGTCTGCACCTGGACCTCAAACCTCCTCGTGTGTCAGTACTAAGACCAGAAGGTCTTGGCAATATTTACACTGATGCTGTACTGCTCAGTTGCACCAGAAGCCCAGCCCCAGCTCAAGGCTTAATTCACAAAGGTGAATCATCTCTTGAAAACAGACAGTAGCCGGTTGTTCCACTTCTAGCCCAGAATGAAAAGTGATACTTTGAAGTCTGACCAAAGAAGAAAAGAGGAGGGCACAGTTTTGAAATGATGACTTTAAACCCCACAGAATTTAACAGATACCAACAACATGAAGTATTCATCATTGCAACATCTAGAAACCAAAACATCCATCTCTAAAAAAAAGTTTGTGATGAACTGAAAATTTCTTACTGCTCAGAACTTCCCTGAAAAGCTGTCAAGGATTTTCATAACGCAGGGAACTTTATTGCTAAGGGCCACCAAATGAGTGTTAAACTTTTTTTGGGTTTTTTGCCCTGTTTGCAGATGACATGGATTTCCTTCACCAAGCCACCCTTACTTCCCTTGGAATGATGCACCTCAAAGCTCTGTTTCCTCAGGCTCTCTGAACACAGGACAACAATTCCCTCTTATGATTAGCCTGTATGTATTATGACCATGAACAACATGGCTGAAGTCTCCAGGTACAGCACAAAACAGAACTGTCTCTCCAGAATTACAGCATGAATTCAACCACGGCATTTTCTCACTCAGCTTTACTGGCATTTTGCCATGTAACTTGAAAATAATTGTTCTAAACTGAAAGTCACAACTTAGCAGCAACTCCCTACCCCCCCATCTTTCCCCAGGATAATCAAGACATGGTCAGAAGCCACTAACAGAATGACATCAAAAACCACCATGAAATTCTGTTTCATTTAATTCTCCCAGTGAAGGATGGGAACCAGAAAATTCTCCATCCAAAATGTGATTGACATCAAAATAGCAGCTAGACTGGAAGAGGAAAGGGTCAGAGTACATAATACCATAGTTTACTGTTTCTCCTCTAATAGTGGCTACAAATCTTGCACGGCTCTGGAGTCAAGGTTAGAGATCTCTGGTGCGTGGTTTTGTGACATTCACCTCAGCCTAAACCCTAAATTTCGGGAAGTCTCCTTGAGAGAGCCTAAATGGAACTGGCAGTGGCACACGTGTGAAAAGTATCTTTACTCAGGCAGCCATACAGCATTTTCCCAAGAGCTCTCTTGCACAATCAACTTGTAAAACTTAGGCCCTTCTACTCTGACTGCCAAGGGCAAATCTACACCATTTTATGTTGGAGACAAATTATCCCAAAGAAACCTCTTTCTGTTGCCTGATGCCACTTATTCAGATAGAAGTGCAAGCTCACAAAATGAAACTTGACAAGGGCATTTACACATTAAGCAGGTGAAACGTCTGAAAAAGATGCTGCGTTAGGGCTACCTGTAAACTTGCATTTCTGTTTGCAGATAGGTACATTGTAGATGTACAGATGCTTTGTTACAGATTTAGGAAGCATTCCCTGCTCATTATAATAAATAAGTACCTGTATGGCTTCGAATATGAACTCTCAGCGTGCCATTGCTTGCAAACTTCTGTCCACAATATGGGCAAATCTTCTCTTTTTCTCCTGTGTGAGTCTGTGTGGGGTGGAGAGAGACAAGAATGACCGTTCAGCATGGATTTAAAAGATGTGAAATATGGAATATTTTAACTCTACTGACATTATCTCCATTACAGATGTTATACCATCACATCAGGCACAGAGTCTTAGGAATTAGCTACAGGTGTTCTTTCCATTTTTTTCTAAAATTTCTGAACAAATTTTATTATTAACGACAAAATAAACTGCCTTTTCAGTTCCTAAGTTTACTATTTCCTAAATAGTTAATACTATTACTATTAAAAAATGTGTATTTTCACGTGGCAAGAGTAAGACACCTGTTTTTTTTCAGCAAGAGATTTGTGACTGGTTTCTAAACCAGCAAACAATAGCTTGGTTACCTGATAAATTTATTATGCATAAATGGGTCTATTTGTAAAAGGTTATAATTTCACAGAATTTTATGAAATATAGTGAAAATAGTTTTCCCAACCTAACATTTCCTATGGCAAACTTGAACTGGAGCTTTCGAAGGTCTCTCACTTGATCATACACTGAGCTTGCCTTTTGAAATCAAGCTTTTAAGGCTACAGGGTCTTGCTGATATAAGAGGAATTGTTTCAAAATGGAAAAAAAATAATCACAAACTTTCCCATCCAACCTGTGTGATCAACAGCAAGAACACCTTGAAATAAATTACACACAGGGACCTCAGCATTTTTCACACTGTACTTTCCACACCCCATTCTGAAGATTTTTCTCAGCCTATTGAATAACTTTGCCTTATACCTGTGGCTGTTTTTTCGGTGGAGAGTTTTGTGTTACTTCATTTGAAAGTGTTAATTTAAATGGGATGGGAAAGATAACACATTCAATTAAATGTACAGGTGACTATTCGGGTTTTGAGCTTTGCGCTCTTCAGATGGGGAAAAACTAATTCTTACTTCGATGGAAGACACTGAAGTGACAAAGTCCTTCATTACATCATAAAAACCCCACCTCACCCAGTACATATTGTGCTGCAGCTGAAGGAAGAGTAAATGAGATCTCATTTCAATACCAGATGGACTTGCAGAGTTTTCCTTCTCTGACTTGAGGATATGAATTAAATGCCTCTTGATTAGGATGCAGTTATTTAGAAATCACAGCAACATTGGGGAATGCCAGAGAGACAGCTATTAATTAATTCCAAGGATCCAAATACAAAAGGGACCAATTTCTGGGACCAATACAACTACAAGGCATACAGCTAGTCCTAGTCTGACAGGAACACAAGGAAAACTTTCAAAATCTATGCAGAGCTCATCAGTGGGAGTATTTTTAAACCTCATGACCCATCTTAGCAAGATCCTTCACCAAAAGTTAAACTGGAGTTAATGTATCAGTGTTACAGGCTAGGGCTCAAGGACTGAATGTGATCAGTTGATTCTACTCACTTTCTTATGGCTCTTCAGGACTGAGGGTGTCACAAAAGCTTTGTCACAGAGATCACACTTGTATTTCTTGTGTCCGTCGTGCACAACTTGAATGTGAACATTTAAGGTGTCCTTTCTTTTGAAAGTAGCGTCACAGTGATCACACTTGAAGGTCCTCTCACCTTACAAAGAGAAAAAACAGGTCTAAAGATACCAGATTTTTGTGGAAATGGACTAGTGCTTATTGTTTCAGAAAAGAAGTTAGGTTCTGGGAACAGAGGCATCACGTTGGGTAAAAATGTTACCGGGAAATTCAGAAAAAAACAGTCTGCATCTTTCGGAAATAAATGGTAAGAGGCATTTTCCTGAATTTGCAAGAATTCTCAAAGCAAGAAATGCTATCTCGTTCACCTCAGCAGGGGCGAAGTCATGTGACAAACATGGAGTAACTGCAGGGTTGTAGCAGCATTACTGTTCTAACTGTGGTGCTGTCTCTGGAGGCTGTGCCAGAGGCCACGTTAATATGGTTTAAAGTTTTTTCAAGTAATTCTACATCAATCTGCAGTGTGTTTGCTTCTAAAGCAACATGGGGGTATTAAATTGAAAAAAAAAAATATGTGTTGTAAGCTGAACTTCAATTTTTCCTAGAAGTTTAGAGCTTCACAAACCATTTCTTTTTCCTGCAGCACAGAGAGGTAAAGGCAGCTAAATCCATCTAGAAATTCTGGCCTGTTCCTCCTCTTTATAGTGGTGCTTCAGGAACAGCTAGATCTGCCACAAATCACAGTCCTAACTCAGAACCTTGAATTTCCTGAGCTCCCATCCTCTTAAAAAAAAAAGTCAAATATATGTTTTTAGTGAGACCTTTGCCAAGGCCCTGCAGTTCTGCACACAGTGAATTACAGCTTTTGGATAGTCTGCAAATGCTTTTTATTAGAATATACTTTACTGAAGAGGTTTTTAACTTTTCCCCCATCATTCTTAACATTTATCATTGGAAAAAAAAAATTACAAAATCCAACGCTTTATAAAATTGCAGAAGGTTTGAAAGACAATAATAAAAGGACAAACTAAACATGCCAGCCCAGTAATTCATCTAACAGAAACACTGTTAGATGAGATTAAAAAAAAGAAAGATTTATGGGGTTCTTGGTTATACCAATATGAAAATTTCCCAAATCTGAATATTGTCTTCTGAGTTACAAGGATTTTAGATGAGCATTTTCTAAAATCTAAATTGCTGATGTTCACAGGGTGGAATGGCAGTTTGGGCTCTGCAAATATTAAAGAAGGAGAAAATCCCACCACAAATGAACTTTTACCCAGTCAGTCAAAAAAAAAGGAGAGAATGCCAAGAACAAGTTACTCATGAGGCAAAGTGGGCACACAGCATTTCTCTGAGCTGTTATTTCTGTGCCAGGGGCTGGAAACACGAGCCTGGGCTGACACAGAAGAGACAATCTCAGTGTCAAGCTCTAAACTGGATTACCCACAAAAGCTGAGTAAGTCACCAAGTTCTCTCTCTTTCCACTTCTTCTTTCTTAAAATGGAGGTAACACTATCTCACTGAAAGCAGAAATAAATCTCTTGTCGTCACACCTCAAATCATTGCTAGATTTTCAACGGCATATTCGGATTTGCATTTGAGTGCATTTAAAGACAAGGTTTGACTTTGGTTCTGAATTTTCTAACTGCCTGGGGTTAGAGTTGAAACTTAATACCAATTTAACCCAGCAAGCTGCATACTGGAGCAAGGTGCCACATGTCTGCTTTTCACAGTGAAGGGCGAGAATTTAGGAAGCCCTTTTTCCTCTCTGACTCAGCACTTACTGTTATGGATTAACAGATGCCTCTGGAGCGAGAACGGGGTTCGGAACAAAGCCTTGCACTCCTCACACTGGAATGGTCTCTCCTCAGAATGGGTCTGCAGATGGAACACAGTATGTCAGGGGAAAGGTTCATGGAAATCAATTAGTTGTCATGACAGTAATTATAGCTAATTTTCTGGACTGGATTCAGGAGGGGATGAAGATTTAAAACAATTGTTCTGCCGTGATCCAGAATCCTGGAAGTCAGCACAGCAGCTACTGAATAACTGTGCCTTCCCAGCCCTCACAAGTGTCACAGGAGGTGTGCATGTAAATAGAGACAAAAATACAGAATAACCAAGGAAAAAACCTAGAAGCTCAGTTGCATTGCTTTATTAACACTGGCCTAGAGTACTTATTAATATGAATAAATGCTTTAAAACATGTAAACAAAGCCCTTTTTTGAAGTTAAAATTGATCTAATGCTCAAGAGAGCACCTAACATTTGGCAAAGAAAATTTCTCAAATCATGACAATAGCCTTATATATCCTTGTTTCAGTTTCTTCTACTAAAAAAAACCAAACCACAAAACCAAAAAACCACAAAACCCCAAAAAACCCCAAAAAACCCCAAAGCCATGGAAGCATCAGTACTGAGATTTTTGTTGGCTGTAGAAGAATTCATTGTAGCTGAAAAGCAGCCTCAAAGCCATGAATAAAATAAAAGACTAAGCTGGGAGGATTCTCCCAAACTACAAGGTTGCTGAAGCATATTTCTTTTCTGGAGCTTGGGACACATCCAGCTTTATTCTACTTTTACACATTTCAAAGCACTTTCCCCGTTTCATTGAGTTATTAACTGCTGTCCCACTGTAGATAGTAAATTAATCTGTACAACTTATTATCTACCCAATTCCTACTATTTTTGCTAAGGAAAGCAGGATTTTAAAGCATCAGTGTCTAAATATTGCATTAGCTCACAAGGACCTTATTAGAAGCTGCAGTGCCAGGAGGAAAAGGGGACAGACCGTGAGTGTTTTATAATATGCAGGAAATTAGGTAAACGAGTTAATTAGACTAAGGGCAAATATTAGCATAGCCCATATTTACATAATCTATTTTTGCTATTCAAAATACCCTACAACCATTATAGCTATCCCTTCAACTGTGGAGAAAAAGGGGACTGTGGGGATTTTAAGCCCAATGTCCTCTTTGACACACACAGTACCAAAACATGAAAGTATTGCAATGGTACAGAGAGGTTTCAGATTCAAAGTCAGCTCCTTGACCTCAGCCTACGTCCCTTAAAGCAGAAAAGGCAACTGAAGAACCCTCAGACGTGTGGGATATATCTCCTGTTACATGAAATCTGCTAAAGGTTTCAGCCCAGGCCCTACAGGTTTCCATCCCAGTTTGCATGAGCTGCCACCCTGCTCACAGCCTGGGCAGTCGGGCCAAGGATTGACAGGACACGAAGAGACTGAACTACCTTCTCACCTCAACAGGGGGTTCCTCCAGAACAGGGCTGAGACATAGTGAGGAGACACTGTGGGGAAGCTGGCAGTGCTGCTGTCTGTGCTGTACCTGTTCTGTGGATAAATAGAAGGGTTCAGTCTCCAGAGCTGTCAATCTGGCACTTTCCACGAGCGCAAAGTTCATGCTGCTTATTGAAGAAATGCCCTGCTTTAGAGCACTCACCACCCGAGGGATAGTTCTGAGGAGCACAGTGATCTGTACAGAACTCCCTCCTAGCATCTCCTTTTAGAGTTCTCCTGGTCTTCTTATCAGAATATACGTATTCATGTGCACATCTTAACTTCACTACGAAGAAAACCACCTACCTAGGCATAACCTCATGCAGGGGTACACTCATCACCTGCAGCAACTGAGCACGGGCTCTTAGGGAGTATTTCGTGGCAGCCTTTCCTACCACAGCATCTGTGGAGGCTTAAGCCCGGCCCAAGGCTACTTATTCCCAACAGATAAACTGATGGAATACAGTTGTTTCAAATCATTATGCTCCCCAGGACCAAACAACCGTGGATTAACCATAAACCCTTTAAAATCCTGCGTCTGATGACCTATTTCTGCTCACTGTCATATCCTCGCACTTTATTCTCTGAACTCATCCCCCGTCCGCGGCAACAAAGGAGCAGATGGAACAAAACCACCTCCTGTAAGGAGGTAATCTGCATTATGTGGCTCAGAGCATGCACCCTCAGCCGATCCAACCTGCGTGAGAGGTGACTGATTTTCTCTGCAGCACAATCCCATACTCCATTTACCTCCTCATTTCAGACACTGTTCCCTTGCCTCGTTGAAATGACCCGACACACACACACAAATCTGAAGGATGTTTAGAAACACACGCTGTGGGAGCCATCTTTATTCTGATACTTCCAACATGAAATCAGGGCAAATAAACCCCCACAAAGGAACCAGAGAAACAACAGCAACGAGTTTCAAAGGCACAAAATGTATCTCTATTCTGTTACTTGTTGTATATAAAAAGGATGGAGGCCTGCTGCAAAATCCCAAGTGTTTTTTTAAACATGTTGCTATCAAACTTTAAGGTCTGTCTGCTGTGAAATGCTGTAGGTTTAAATGTTTTTAACTACCCATCATTCCTACTGCAGGTTTCTAAGCTCCCTGCTACTAACTGGTAACTACAACTCAAGAAGGCACCCTGAAATTATTTAGAGTTCAACTTTTCTCCTTCAGAAAGAAAATGAAACTTAGGAGGACCTCTTAAAGGAATACACAGCTAAAAAAAATCATTAAAAACCCAAGCTGAAGAAATATATTAATATGATACACAATTAAAAGTTGTTTCCACATTCCTGTGAACAAGCAAAAGAACCATTGTGCTGTTCCCCTGGGAGTAGTGCAGCCTTCCCAAAATCATGATAATTAAAACTATTTTGGCATCCTGACCCACCACATCCTTGAGTTATATTTGTGACAACACAAATATAATGCTTTTTGTGCATACACATCCATACTCCCCCCCCTTGTCTCCTGCCTCTCCTCATGCTGTTTACCCAATGGAGAGAGGTGTGCCGAAAAAAAAAACAAATTTAATTCAGGCCATCTAAGTCAGTCTCATGTTCATCTCTTCATGGAACACGTGAGTGTAGAGGCCTAAATGTGGATGGGGGAATATTACAGCTGGTTGGGGAATCTTTATGTAAACACAGCAATAAGTTTCTTCCAATACAGGACAGAGTTGATTTACAGCCAGTACTACGTGCAAACAGGTTCAGGAAACAAGCATTCCAACATGCTTTAAGGAATTCTGTCAAAATTAGGAACTCTCTATATCTGTCTGAATTTTAATATTTTTCCCATTAAGTGGAGCCCCTAATCCTTTCTTATGCTAGTGGTGCTGCTGCTTTAAACACAGAATTGGGTCAAAGTGTTTACTCATTCATACTTAATCCTCAAGTCCGTTTTCAACCCAAACTCCCCACCAGTCACCAATGGCAAATTAACACAAGGAAACACAAGTATCTTTCTAGACGATATTTTAGGCATTTTCCCTAGAATATGTTCAATTTGTGAGACTCTGTGTCGTTTTCTTGAAGTCTAAACCATCAAAGGCAATGAGAGCACGTTTGGGAGCTCATCTTGTCCTTCAGCAGGCTGCTGCTTGTGAGGCAGTCATCACCAATCCACCCCAGCCCGCAAGGGGCATCAGCACTGCCCTGACATGATTTATGGCTCCGAGTGCAAGAGATGCTGCAAAGATCCTGTGCCAAATTCCCAGATGGAATGTAACACGAGCCAAACTGTGAAAGACTTGGAAGAATGGGGATATTAGGGTGGAGGTTCTGTGTTTTTTTTCTAGTGTCGTAATTCTGAAACAGCAGTCATGGGTACAGACTAGCCATTAAAAATTGAAACCCAGGTTAAAACTAGTGAGGGGCATTATAGAAATTAGGCCAAGCAGATTTGAGTTTAAATCAAACACAAGCAGAACATCCCTTTGTGAGCCTGTTTTTCAGGTAATCTTTCTTCTGGTGTTGTTTAATATGTGAACACTACCAAGTTTAAATCTAGTGTAGATTGAAAGCATCTGCTGCTAAGTCCAACAAGGACTGCAAGAGGACTACACTCAGTTTTATTCAATTGTGGTATTTAAAAAAAAAGACACTTTTAATCAGTTACACTTTTAACTTGGTAACAAAAAAACCAAAATAGCAAAAAACCCCACCAAAACAAAACAATACCAAAAAATACCCCAGAAAATTCAAAATGGGATTTATTTGATGCTTTTAACCAAGCAACTGTGATTTACTTCTGCCTATTTAAGTTTTTTGTTTGCTAGAAATGATTTAGTATTTTGAGACTTTGGATATAACAAAGAACACTAACGCTACGTTCTCCAATACTTTAATCCCATGTTCATAAGCATGGCAGAGCTTAATGATGAACCACTTACAAGAAGAAAAAAAAAAAAAATCTGCAAATCTGAGGCTGGCAGACCTGTAAACAACAACAGCAGAGTGCTTTACCTTCTTGTGATTCTTGTAAACATTTCTGTGGGCAAATCCCTTTCCACAAAGCTTGCATTTATAAGGTTTATCTTCACTGTGTATTATTTTGTGTGCAGTCACTTGATCAAGTCGTTTGAAGGACTTATTGCAAACCTCGCAGGTGTAGGGGCGTTTTTCTGCAGAAAATGAGTGGGGGACACTTAATCTCCTGTTTATACAGGGGGAGAAGATGAAAGGCAGAGACAGTCATCTCCTCAGAGAGATTTTTGCAATTAAGTCAACCCAATTAAGATTAAACCAATTAGAAAGACATCTAATGCCCTTTATGTTAGACAGTTAAGTCACTTCACAAAAGATGAGCCATGGTGTATCTCAAGAAATTGGCACATTCTTTGCAATGCTCGTTGCTAAAACTAAATTCTGATTAATTAGCTTAAATCAAAAGAGAATGACTTCAAAGAGGAAAACTCTGTTTCCAGATTACAAATGTGAAAGAGGGCATGACAGTTTAAATGTTTTAAAACTTAATTAACAATATACATATTAGCTTCCAAAACCAAGAGTTCCTATGCAGAAAGCCTTTGTGCTTCAACTGGTGACTGCAACTTAACTGCACTAATGCTCATCCGAAAGTGTCAGAAGAAAGCCAGGAGCCTCTGAGATACGGATTATGTTAGCAGAAAAGAGCTTTTGGTGTGGACTAATATCAAGAAAACAGTTCAATTGTAAGCCTGTGCAGCTGTAAAAACCTGCATTTGTTTCGACGCTAATGCGTTTGACAGAAGGGTGTTTGTGCTCCCATCGTGTTGCTTGATGTTTCTCATCACCGGTGAAGGACACAGAAAACGCGGGACTGCAACGAAAAACCTGGCAGAGCCGAGCTGTGTCCCACTGCCAAACCCAGGCACCAGCCACTCCCTGCCCACGGTGACCCGCGCCGGCACAGCACGGGCACAGGGAAAGGTTTGGTTGGCCTGGAGCATGAGCTGCTTCCCTCGGACCAGAAAGTACGTGCACATAACCCCACTGATACACACACGAATGTTTCCTTTTGATCACAGATCACTGCCAGCATGCCCCAGCTCCCATCCTCTCCTCTCTCTGGTTTTTCCCCTCCTCTATAGGCCATGAAACCATCTTTGGCCCCACGGCAGCTCACTGACCTCGTCTACCCCAGCTGGCACAACAAAACAGCTTGACAAAGCAGCAAGAGCGAGAAGGCTACAGCACTGCACCTGGGTTTTTGAAAGGCTTAGGTAGGAGAGCTTAGATAGTCTCCTTGGAACCTGAGATTTACTTGACCAGCTCAGCACAACACAGATTTCATCAAGACTTCTATAAGATACTAGCTCAGGTAAAATTCAATCTACATTAAGTACATATCCACGGGTTTGAGTTATTTTGGTACATTACCTGAGTGAGTTATCATGTGGCGTTTCAGCTGGTTCGCCGAAATAAATTTCTTGTCACACTCCTGACACTCAAAGATCTCGTGGACCTGCAAAACAAGTGTTTAACGATAATTAAATGCATGCCTCAAACAAGATCATGCATCTTTCATATACAGAAATTCCCTAACAAACTATTTAATAGCCAGTTGCCATATTAATTATCATAAATATTGTGTGATTTCCCCTTTGCTGGTCCCTTGGTGAAAGAAACATCATCTCCCCAAAACTAAAAATTCGTAATTCAAAACAAAAAATTATCACTACAACAATGGTGCAGATTTCCATAATCTGTTTCTAACTATCAGATCTCTGTAAAATATCATTACCAGGAAAGCATTAAAAAACCAGATGCAGAATAACTTGTCAGAACACTTCCTTCTAGTCTAATTGGCAAAAGCAACACAGAAACCGTTTCATAGCTTCTGTATGAATTTTTAAAACACAAGAACTATCAAACTCTTGCAGGTTTCTTTCTCTTAAAAGCTTTTAGATACAGGACAGTGGAGGGGCAGCAGTGTCTCAACCTGTAAATGCAGGATACCCACAGTCCTACATTTCCTTCAGTTTACTCACATAAGGTAAGATATAAAAAAAGGCATTAAAATTAACATGTTACAAGCAAGAGACTGGAAAACAGGAAGGTAAGGTTAAGGGACAGAAGGTGACGACAGCAAAGTTGAATTGTGCATGGCTAAGGAAGGGTTGATCTTTAGACATTTAAGGCACAAGCAATGCACAAGACACATGAAGCTAAAAATGAGTTGAAATCAAAGATGACATGAAAGCTACAGATCGTGTCTTCAGACAATGAACATATGTCAATCCCCTGCAGTCACCCTCTTCACCTCCTTTCTCTGTGTTTGCCACATTTATCTCTTTCTGTTGTTTGGGCTGATTTTTTGCTGTACTTCACCTTTCTATTCTCTGCTTTTAGTTCTTTACCTTGACAGGAAATGTCCCAGTTTCACCTATTGTTTTCTTATTGCTTTTATTGCCTGTATAAATATTTCTGGGAATGATGAGCCTGCCCCACTTCCCACAAAAGCAAAGTAATTCAAACAGACAGACAAACATGAGTCCTACTGTGCACAATCTCCTTCACTACCTGATGTGAGTGAATCTGGAATATTAATTTTCTGGATATTTTAAAAGAGGAGCCAATCAAGAAGAGTAAACAAAGTTTGATGCACAAAATCTTCACAGCGATTCTGAAGATGAGTAAGTGCTCGACTGACATGCCCAGTGCTATTTGAGAAGCCGGTTGGTGTGTGTGACGGTGTCTGCACAGAATTACAACCACTGGAACAGAACATTTTAATAAAATGGACACACTAACCAGGATATTCTGCACTTTCAGGGCCTGATGTGTGAAAGGTGCACCAGTGCATAAAGCTTTTAATTACATGTGTGGCAAGGCACACCAGGATTTGATTTGAGGAGTAACAAAGTCAGACAAGAAAGGACAAGTAACACAAGCAAGGAGAAAAACAAATTTAAAAGGAGGGGCCTCACCATTTCCTTTGCAACAACATATTTTAATTGACATCATCTATATCCTTAACGGATTCAGGTTATAACCAGGGCATTATTAAAGACTTACAGTTAATCTGATAAACAGTACAATGCAGCTTTTTGAAAAAACAGAATCTCCTGGGGTTCAGTGATTTATCAAATTAATCTTGCAGGGACTTCCTTTGGGTATCACGGCTTCAGAATCTCATATTCGTAGTCCATCTGTATTTCTGTAAGAACACCCTCACTTCCAATAGATGCTTTTCCAACTGTTAACCCCTCCTGCTCTGGTTATAAAAGATGATGTGCATAAACAAAAAGACACTAAAAATTGGGGTTTGAGGAAGGAATTATTTTATTAGTGTCTAACTCCAATGCAAACAACACCTTAGTGGTACGTCAGAAAGCACTGAGTGTATTTTGCACGAAAACCGAAGGCTCGTGAACCGATTTTATGGTCTGTCTGTGTGCTGGCATTACATAACACACTTTAGACTGAGCTTAGTGTTTAAGAACGCTGAAGAAGAGTGGGCAGCTCTGACTTAGTGCTGGGATGCACAAACGATCCGAGCACAAACACATCTGCACTGGGTAAAAGACGCACTAAAACTTTAGGAAGCTTCTTGGTTTAACCAAGTGCGATTACAAAAATAAGCACCCCCGCTCAAAGCTGCTGGGTTTGTGACCAGGGAAGATTACCCAAGGGCTTGCATTAGAGCAGCTTTCAAGTGACCTGAGCAGCACAGCCTCACAGCTCAGGGGAGTCAGTGCCTGCTGTGAGTCAGCCTTCATCTCACTGACCTTTCGATGCTCTTGGAGATTTGCTGCTGAGGAACATTTCTTATTGCACACTGAACACATCAGCTTCTTCCTAGAATTTCCTGAAACAGAAACAAAATACCACCAACATCTTAAAAAGGAAGTGCTGAGAAAGAACCTAAATATTTCCACTGAGCCTGTGACTTTTTACAGGTCATTTGACTGACATAAGATTTTTTACATTTGTAGCCCATCTTCAAAGTGTTCCGTATCAGGAGCTCTCTGTGGGTGTCCAACAAGCCAGTTACTGATGGAATGTAAATCAAGAAAATCAGAACAATAAAGGAAAAAAACCCTTCAAGTAGATGTTATCATACCTCACCAATCCCATAGGAAAAGCACAATTCACATCTAGGAACAACTCAGTGCAGAACTGACCAGTTCATTTTGCCCAGAAGTCAATACAGGAGTTAGTACAGCAACAAACAAAAAATATCCCAAACTGAAGTCAAAGCCACCATTTCCCATCTTTGTTTATTTAGAAAGCATTAAGCATCTTACTATATAAAAGAATATCTCTTTAATGATCTTTAAACGAACAAAACAGGGAAATCCTACTGGCACCAGATCAGATACCAGATGCATTTTCTTTCCCTTTTCACAGCTTTTTTAAAAAGTGACAGGCCACTTAATTGGTTTTATCTATTACTTACCTATAAAAATTCATTTTAGCGACCCACAAAGCCATTTTATTACAAGATAAAGCCACTATAAACCTAATTCTTTGTTTATAATTACATGCCCATGCAGGACAGTTCCTAGCTTATGTACAACACGTTCATGCTACATTGGACACTAAAAAGAATGGACACAGACCAAAGAGGAAGAAGTTTCATTTATATATGCAAACACACACGTAACACAGGAATACACTTAGTCCTTCAACTCACAAGGACATTAATGAGACCTTTCCAGAGGAAAGGAAGGTGACAGGGAGTATCTGTTCACAGCTTTGCATAACAGGCAACACACAACAATCCCTTCTATTTTCCCTTGCCTCCAGGGAACACGAGGCAGGAAGGAATTCTAGAAGTGTCCCCCAACAGCAGTAGGTTCTTTTCCTTCCTTCACCAACACCACTTGTGACTTCTACAACTCCCAAGGGGTAAAATGAAAGCTCTGCTCATTGTGTGGGCAGTGCAAAAATATCCTCCAGGTATCTCCTCTGAGTCATGTCTGGAGTGATTCAAGAGAACTGTGGAATTCCTGCAGCACTACATAACTGACCAGAGCTAAGCCTAAACATAATGAGAAAAGTTCTTAGTGGTACTGAAAAAAGGAGATAACCTTTTATAAGAATGATTATGGAAGGTATTTTTGGTAAGATCATGCAAGGGTTTGTCAGGAGAAAGCAATTTTCCTGCAGGAGACTAATGATTCATCTGCTTTACAGTAATTTCTCCCTGAGGGAGGACGAACAGTTACTCCTGCAATTAGTTACTTCTTAATTTTCATTTTGATACAAACGAATCCATTAAAAAAAGAAACCAAAGACAATGTTTACTCTGATTTGCAAATTTAAGGGTGTGGACACGTTAGAGGGGTTTTCTCTACAGAAGCATTAAGCTCTTTCTTACCACTGTGGACATTTTCTTTGTGCTTTTTCAGGGCATCCTTACTCTTGAACCTCTTCCCACAGCTTTCTGCCTTGCAGATGAACCTGGCATCCCCTCTGCACGCCTCCTTGTGCTGCTCATAACTGTATGGAATCAAAAATAGAGGGAAAAAAACCCAGCACATAAAGCAGCTTCTCCAGAAAGCAGACACATAGCAAATACTCTGAGCTGAACATGCAGGGTCCTGAGGCCACCTCATGCATTACTTACAGCAGGGAGGAAGGAAAGCATTTGACTCCTGTCCCTGATAGGATTCCCACACACTAACAAGCTGGAAAGAGAACATGCAAAGGGAGCCCAGCAATGCTATGACAGCAGTCCAGTAACTGGGACACAAAACCTCGATTCTGAGCTGAAGGCAGTGTTGCAAACAGAGCACTGGAAGCTTCTGGAGGAGTCTCCCGGGCTGATGTTCTCCGTGCACTGCAGGACACTAAAAGACAAATAAAAGAAGAAAGAAAATAAGGGGGACGTTCTATAACCTACACAGCCTTGCGGTAGCTAAAAACATACATACACCTCTACAAATTTTCAAGTAGGTGAGTAATCTATCTCACATGTGAAGTCTCCTGGAATTTAGTGGTACTAACCAAAGGCATAGACAGCAAGAGTCAGGATCATACTGCTGTTCCCTCACACAGATTAATCCTACCTGGCTTGATGTAAATACACAGCACACACACAGCTTCTGCTATAGGTTGGAGGGAATACGGCTAAGTTCAAGAGAAAATTTAATTGCCTCCACAAATACTTCTCTACTACGCAATTTTTTTTTATTTCCATGAAAGAACACAGATCTCACATAATGCTGCCAGCTCTAGGAACATGAACATCATTCAGATGTAAAGGAGATCAATTCATTACAAGAGCAGCCTGAAGTGCATTCTATGCAATGTGTTCTTTTCCAATACAACAGAGTTACATTAATCATATCATCTATAATCACTTAACATCTAATGCACCATCTGTAATTAAATGTGTAATAAAATGCAATATATCTATTTAATTGCAATTAAAAAATATAAACAACAAAAGACAAAACCAGCTACATTTTTGTACAAAAGTATAATTGTAAGGTATATAACTTTAGTGACAAAACATCCACACCTTAAAAATTACACCTCCTAAACTGCTAAATATTCCACTGATGGAGACCAGTAGTTTTGCACCAAACTGCAGCTCTGACCTGGTCTACAGTGTATGATTTTTAAACAGAAAAATTTAGCAACATTTTTGCCATTCAAATTGAAGTCTCCCAAAAATACGAGACATTAACGTATTAAAAGGCTAAAGCAAAGCACTGGTACAAATACAGAAGCATAAAAATTAAAGATTAAACTGTGATTCAAGAGAAAGAAATGATTGAATGAAATCAGTTGAAATGATGCCTGAAAAAACACTTCTGTTCCTACTCACTGTCTTTGTAGAGCTTGTTTAACAGGGAATTTCTTCCCACAATTTCGGCACTTAAATTCCTTTTCCTCGCTGGGCTTTTGGTGCAAAGTCTGCAGATGTTCAGCCAGAATCTCCTGGCTGGCAAAACTGGATTCACAGTGTGGGCATGCATGGTCCTCTTTACACGTGAGGGGATCTGCATGATGGGAGGCAAAACCAAAGGAAAGGAGTAGTTTTCAGGCAATATTATTTTGGCTACACTAAGAGAGGTTTTCTGCCAGAAACAGATTACGCAAAATGGCATCCTGGAATTCCCAAAAGACTCTGAATTGTCTCTGAGTGGATTACAAACAGCCTGTCTTGAGTGGATTACCATCAGCATTACTGCAAAGGGAGGCAAAGGATTAAGCTGGGTGTGACTCAGGCTGTTGGCCCCAGTTAGTCATGCAGGTTGTCTCCACTTGGACAAAGACGCGGAGAATTCCCCCACCAGCTCAGGCCCCCTTCCTTTGCTTAGACATCTCACCTTTAGGACTGGCTGAACAGCTTTAGGAAAAGGTTTATTTCTCTCCCATCTAAGCAAGAAGGAAAGTAACCCCCTCAGAGCAAAACCTTAGCTTTCATAAGGCTGTGTCAGGTGAAACAAGCTCTGTCTTTAGTTCAAAAATTAATAGTTACTATTTATGACATCTAGGCTCACTCATTATGCAGTAATTCACAGGAATGGTTGCTTTTTATAAGATTGAAAAGAATCTCAAGTCAAACCAAAATAGAGATAATTCATACAAGAACTCAGATAAAACCCAAGAAACCTTCCAGTTCCCCAGTCCTATGCAAAGTTCTCTTTCTCCTTAGTTACTATTTTCAGCTCTCAAGTCACCCTATCTTCTACATCTTGCTCACCTGCAATTTTTTCACCAGCTGGTTGCGTTTCTTTATTGTTGCCACTGTCTTCAACTTCCTGGATGACAGTTACCTCTTCCTCCTCCTCTTCCTCTTCTTCCATGTCACTATCCAAGTACCCAATCAGCAGTTCTGTGTCTGTTTCAATATCTTCCACAGCCAGGTAGAAAATATTTTCCCCTTCCTGTGGCAAACAGCAAGTACAAGCAATAAACAGTTACCTCAGAAAAAGAGAAATCCAGACACAAGTATGAGACCCTGAACTAATATCAGCCCTCAGCTATGGAAGGATTGGCTCAATTCCTCAGGCAGCACCATGCTACAACAGAATTTCTAAGTGTTCTTTCCCACCAAGGTTCCATGGATAAAGTGCATTTCCATGCTGGGATTAGGGAAATATTCCCCTGCCTCACCTGGGCTTTACCATAATGCACTATAGTTTAGACCAAAGTGAAGATGGCACTGAAGTCCTCTCCTGCCATACTCTGCTTGACAAGAACTTCAGAGTTTGAAAATGAAATATTTGAGCATTAGAAAAACAGCAAAACGTAGATAATTGACACAGCTTTAGCTCTGTCCCCTGTTGGCTGCATCAGTTCTAACACAGCTTTCAGCAGCCTGTTTACACGATGTTACCTTCTCTCCTTCTCCCTAAGATTCCCAGCCTCCTCCAGCAGGCTTTCAACCCTGCTCAGCTGTCTCCACTACCAAACGAGCAGGCACATCTGGAAAACGCACTGGAAACCCTCTGCTGGTTTAAATCAGCCCGGATCCACAAAAGGCCAAGAGATCCAGCCCACATTCTGCACGGCAGGACAAACTACATAACAATGAGCTCCAAAACCTCGGCAATGACTCAACAAGCTTCCAAACAGACACATCAACCGGCAACTTTAGTCTTTGACAATACTTAATTAAAGTAACCAAGGTTGGCACGGTGGGGGGTAAGGGGAGGAAATTTATAGCAAAACCATCTGTCTCCTAAAGTGATACTCAGAGATGCCTTTTCTTTTTGCCATATGTGAACCAACTGCTTTAGGCACTACCCAAAATGCTGCAGGAGACTCATTGTTATGCAGGGAAGACTCCCAGGTTCTACCACAAATCTTAAAGCTTATCTGATTAACATCCAGCAAAGCTGGAAGCTTCTGAAGCTTCTTTCCACTGCACCCAGCCGTATATTTTGTAACAAGCTTCCCTGAACGAGGACAAGATAATGATTTTTAATTTTTGTAATATACTAAGATTAATTCACGCTGCCAACAGGGATGTAAGCATTCCTTGAGCTGCAGAAGGTCTGGTATATATTACACAATTGTCACACAAGAGTGAAACCTCCTTAATTCAGCAGACCTGATGGAGCTGCTGCTTTCAAGGATGCACCACTTTTCTGTCCTTATCTCAACAGCAGCACTGGAAAACAAAGAAAATGATGCGTTTTTTTTTTCCTCCAGATCTATTCTGCACTCCAGATATCCATCAGCATCCCAGCCTGACTTCTGCACACAGCTACAAGTTGCTGGTTTTCATATGTCTCTGTCAAGTTGCAGAGACCTTTAATTTACTGCGGTCTAAACTCAAAACAAATCATGTACTGAAACTCTTGACGTGAGGAAAAGTAAAAGGTCTTTCTACACTCAGTCTCCACTTACACAGGATAAAACCACTGGGGTAAACCTCCAATACATCACAGTTTAGGATAACCTTATTCTAAAAGCAAGACAACCTTAGGAAGGGAAGCACATACCTATTACTGGCTTGCAAAAAGCCATTTCAAAAATTAAAAATTCTGAGAATTGAAACCAAAAAAGGAAAAGCCGTGTATCCCAGGCAGAAATAAAGTCCCCAAACTTACTCATTAAAGAATCAAAGAGCACACCTTTCCATTAAATCACGTTACACGCTTTTCGCCACACAGTAAATCAGGAGAACAGCAACCAGAACTGATTATTCAGGTTAGCACAGAGCAGGTGCATGAACCCCAACAACCAAGCTCTTATCAACACTGCTGCATCCTCACCATCTCTGCATTTTCTCCACGTGCATCTGGGGCTTATTTCACAGCTCTGTGTCTAAAAACATCCTGGCTCTTTCCCATTTGTCTACTTTTGGTTAGGAAAAAGATTAATGAGACAAGTACTAAGGACTGTCAGTGCCTGAGCGCTCTTGGTTTCAATTGCATTGAAAAGCCTTGGTGCCAGCCCTATCCAAACTCATTTGTCCTCCAGGGTTAATTTGTCTGGCTTCTCCAGCCAAACAAATGCTAACAGCCAGGTATTCAGAGCATAATTAATCAAGATACACCCACGCTGTAGTAGCTCCTCAGGGCAGCATTTTCAGTGAAACCAATGGAAGTTCTCCAGAAACCACAAAAGAATTAAGTCTCTCCCTTCTATCAAGCAGCACGTGCACGAAGCACATTAATCTACATCCACGCAAGCACAGTAAACGTAGTAAGAAATCTCTGGAATAATTTTAATAATCCCTCCATTTCCAAGAACACACCTGCAGTTGTTCCCCCTGCCCATCTGCACAGACCACTCGGGCTGTTTTCCTAACCATGTCCACTTGCAGCAGGCAACGATGGTACTTGAGGGAAATCTCCAAGTGCTGGTCATGGTGGCACCACAACTTCCCTTCAAGCAATTCCTGGTTTATTATTCAACTTTGTTTCACTGCAAGCCTCACTGATCTGCCCAGCAAATAACAAGTTCTCTTGTTATCTCACTTTTGTTCCACTCCAGGCACCTCTCCCATGCAGATTCTTGGCTATTCCATACATGCACACTTTCACATGTGCTTTGGAAGAGGGGAGGCTGAGAGGGAACGTGGGGTCACTGACAGCCCATCACACACCCAAAAGTGTCACCACCGATATGTCATCACTTCTGAAAGCTTAAAGCACAGCAGGAGGAAGCAGCACATAGTCCTTTGTTACCTGAGGGAGCGTAGGGCTTTCACATCCTTCTGAGCTTGACCAGCTGGCTCCAAACCAGCCTTCTTAATCCTTACCCAGTTTCCTTGTGCCCACAACCACTCCTTTAAAAGTTACCTGACTTCCCTCTAGCTCCAATTTCCTGGCACCAAGCCAGCTCTTCAGCCCACCTGCTGTGCCAGTTCTCCTTTGCTACCTCCCCAAACAAGCCCACTCCCGCTCCTGGTGTTTGCCAAAGTAAAACCAATATTGGCAATGTCTGGGAGGGCACAAACCACAAATCCAGGAAATGCATGGAGATGAGTTCTTGGAGGCCAAGGCAGGAGAAGGCAAAACCACAAGCACAGGAAAGGTCCTGCAGGCAGCATTAGGAAATACGTGACCAGAATAACCATGCCTTTCCAAGATGGAGAGCACTTGTTTTATTGGAAATGCAATAGTGAACACGAATGTTTCACACTGCTCCATCTTGTGAAGCTGACTTTGCACTTGCTAACACTGCCTGTGCACTTGTGATGTGCTTTCATCACTGAGAGTGCCTGACACTCCTCACGGATGACAGAGAAAGTAACAATTCATTGGTATGCAAGGACTAGGGTACCAAGTGAAACTAAGAAGTTTCTAGAAGAAAAACAGAAGTATAGTTCAACATAACGTGTAATTGAAACAGGGGAACTCATTCCCACAGAGTGCTGCAAATGACAACCATAAAAATGCAAAAATAAAGTGGGTACGTTCAGGTCAATGGCAAAGACTGGAAAATTATATTTTCGCTAATTTATCCTCAAGTACTACATGATCATCCTATCAGATAATTAGATCCTTCGATTCTCTGTTTTCTACTGAAATATTTTAAATACTGTACTTCCTTTCAAACATATTAAATTTTAAACTATAAGCCAAAAGCACGATTCTGCTTTTCACATACCTAAAGCCATACCTGAGTTAAGCCCAGAACACAAACAGGCACCTAAATAATTAGCCCTGATTCAACCAGGTGTATAGTTAGAAAACAACCACATCCAGGCAAGAGCTTAACTTGACAGTAGTGAGAAAAGTAAACTGTTGTTACAGTTGTGAGTTAACTGCTCTGGAAATTACTTTTATGTACACTGTTCACTTCAAATCAGGAGAAACGGTTCATGTAAGCGATTCAGTGCAATTTCATCACAGTGGATTAATATAAAGCTTTCAGATAATATCAGATTCTAATCAGATTCAATCAGATTCTTTCATCATATCAGTCTTATTTATGGTATTATACAAACATGAGTTCAATTCTAAAAAGAAAGACAGAACCAGGAGAGCAGTTTGCTACTTCTCTCACATCTTACAATTTTATTGCAAGAAATAAAGGCCAAAGAAAAGATCACATTAGTAAATCAGTAACAGGAGGCAAATGGTAGGAATCCACCAAATCTACCTGGATGGCTGCCAGGTTCTTCTGCTCCTGGGACGGAGCCTCGTGGACAAAGCGCAGCCAGTTGGAATGGCGCGGATTGCTCGCATCCAGGATATAAAGGACCTCGCCTTTGCTCCCACGAACCTGCAACGTTACACACACACACACGCAAAAAAAAAGAAGTAAATTTAGAACTGTTTACCAAACACCATTATAAAGCACTAAGGCATGCTCATGTTCAGCAAATGAATTTTGCATTCAACAGGTAGCACAGCTGAGGTGCACATTCACCTTTTCCTCTAAACAGATTTGTTCACCTCAGAATAGGGGGGCAACTCAAATTCAGCAACTTTATCCTACACTTTCCTTTAGTAAAGTCTGAAAGCTTCATCACTGCTGTTCAGGTTATTTTTTCTTCTCTCCTTGTTCCTTCAAGTCCTCTTTTCCTTTAGGATCTTGCCAGAAACCAATACAACCTGAGAGGTTCCTTTAGCAAGGGCAAAAATCCAGCTTGCCCTTGGATGGAGATCTTTCTTCAGATCAAGGATTAATATTTATTCATTTTATGTATCCTGGTTTAGAGCTCACTTGAATATCTTTCACATATGCATCACTAAATGAATTTTAATTATGTAGCCTCAATGAACATCAGTCAGTCCAAAACTGTGCTTGGCTGAAATTTTATCAGAATAGGAGATAATTTCAGTAAACAAATTAGTATCCTACAAAGGTGAAGGGCTGTAAATTGTTCACTAGAGGACATGTTCAGGTGTCAGGTTTTGCCCACTAAGTGAAAAAGCCACTTAAAAAAAAAAAAAAAAAAGAATTGTGCACAAAAGATACAGACGTGGATGACTCCAGAGCTTTTGGCTACAATTACAGATCCATATAATTTCTATGACTGTAACAAAGTTCCAGCTTACACTGAAAAAATTAAGATAATAGAAATAAAAACTTAATACTAACCAAGTCATTCTTCACTCTCGAAACACAAAGACATACTGCTGAAAATATACATTTGTCACTGCCAAAAAAAATTGTTTGTTTAATTTTAAATAATAAATCACTTAAATCTCCACTGATACAGATGATAAAGAGCCATGGAAAAAGGTCATATAGCCACACTACTATTCCATGTGATTTATTTATATAATGAATATATTTTCCTTTTCATCTGTCAACAAGAAGTATCCAGTGCAGGTATTTCCTAGGAGCCAGGGAATTCAGCTATGTAGGATCAAAATTAGATTGTCTTCATGGCCTTTGTTTTCAAATTGCTCACATTCTTGCTATATTTGTTTCTAATAGATGCAATATCATATTCCTTCAGTATGACCGCTTCAATTACCTCAACATGGAGGATATCATCAGGAAGGAAAAACTATATTCCCTTACAATAATAGCTGGTGACAGCATGTTGTTCTCAGATTTAAAGAGAACCAAAAACCCTACTGTAGTTTCTGCAAACAAATAAGCCTTCCAAATTTATGACTCTTCTTCCAAAGGAAAATACCATACCTTCAAAAGGACACATCGTGGAGAAGTGCCAGCATTTCCAACTTTGAAAGCTCTTTGACTTCCAAACACATAGATTACTCACCATGGAAAGTGCCAAATGTACATACTGCAGTGCACCTGGGAACAATATTATCTAACACTAAGCACTGCAATAGGTTTTCCAGAGAAGTCATGGATGCCCCATTCCTGGAACTGTTCAAGGCCACATTGGATGGGGGGCCCATGAGCAACCTGATTTTGTGAGTGGCGTCTCAGGCCGTGGCAAAGGGGTTGGAACAAGATGACCTTTAAGGTCCCTTCCAACCCAATCCATTCTGTAAGACTGTAACAATCATCCAGTTCCAGCCAGGAAACCCGTGACAACGGTGACCACTGCTGATGAGCATCACTGAGCAGGTCAAGTGAAGCCAATGGCTTTGTGATTTGGCTACCAAAGCAGGGGTTATAGAAGCCCACCACAGAGGCCCTATAAAGTCTTCCATTAGATCTTGAGCTGGAAAGAGAAGCAATTCAGGTTCCATTGTAAAAACCCTACGTTACAGTATCTACCTTTTCACCAGTTCTTCATTTGCTTGATCCTTGAATTACGTAAGAATAACTTAATATTCATTTCACTGATACACAGTGATCTCAGTTATGCCTTCTCAGTCCCTGCCAATCCATAAAGAGATGTAAAACACAAAGCCAAGCCTTAGCACATAAGGAAACTATTGAAAAAAGAACACAGTAAATCCCTTAAAAACATTCTATATTTTCTACTGCTTTTTTCACCTCATAAAGAAATAATGCTGCATTAAATACACAGATGGGACGACGAAAAGTCAAGAAAAAGAGTAAGAACTCTGTACTTAACATGGACTACTCTGGTGACATTTACCACTCCCTTTCTGGCTGCATGGATAGCGAGTTTCCTAAATGAACAACTGGCCTTTGAATACCATGGCAGTGAATCCCAAACTTCATATTTAAAACACCTAAAATGCACACAGATATCCAAAGCATGCACCAGACACGAGAGCCCCTCAAATGGAGATGCCTGGGAATTATCTTCCTGAAAACCAACACAAAGGTGCCACTGAACCAACTCAGTCAAACGTCTCCACAGTAAGATGAATTCAGCCAATTAACAAACACCATACGTGAAATTATCCCCACATTTCCAAGACACATCCCAGGTTGTCGCCTGTGCTACTCCAAAATTGCTCACGAGTGCAATTGCAAACGCTCTGCCGTGCACACCTGGCAAGGGAAGAGGGGAAAAACAAAACCTCCCTGCAAGTAAGCAGATGGTTATCTTCGCTGAGGGCAGTAAACACGCTGCCTGCTTTCTGGAAACCATTTTCTAAACATTTAAAAATAGAAAAAAAAAATCTATGTTCATCAAACAATCATGTAAAGAAACGTACTGTGTTATGAATTGCCTTTTTTTTTTTATGAGCTGCAAACGTGGTTTTTATGGTTACAGAATAAAACAGGTAGATGCAATACTTCTGCATCCTCAGTTTCAGACCCCCATCACAGAGCTCACTGCAGAGTACAAACTCACATTTTAACGTTGCTGGAAAAGCGTTAAAACAGCGCTTGCAAAAGAAACCTGAGGCAGCAACTGGTGATTTCCTTACTCACTGAGTCCTGGGACATAGACAAAATGTGACATTTTCCTTCTGCCAAAATACACAGTTTTTCACGTTAACGAAGCTCCTCCTGGTGCAAGACATGAGCTGACCTCGTCAGAGACAGAAGGCAAAGAACGTTCACTCCTCCACTCCTGTTTCCATAAGCAGGGATGAACTTCACATTCACTGGAATGACCCCCAGATATCTCCTGGAGGAGATAGTGTGTGATCTTCTAGAACAAGCTCAGAGTAGAACATGGAACACCTCAGCATTTCCACAGGTGCTTCCTACATCTTACATCAGTTATAAATCCCATAACTGAGGATGGGAGGCTAAGCCTCAGTCACTTTTGGAAACAGATTCTTCTCATCCCCAAAACCAGAAGATTATTAGGGTGCCGTTACAAAAGTTACTAAAATTAATACAAAGTCATACATTTAACACGGATAAAGATGACTAAAACAAGTTTTAATGGGAATTTAGCTAAATAAACAAACTGATAACATTAATAACTACTTTGGACACCTATCTATGCCAGTGGGGATTCATTTAAAAAAATTGAAAATCTAGGATGCAAAACTTGCAGCTGACTTGTGTAAAAGTCTAGATCGTTTGCCTAAGAAATGAGAAAAACAAAAGCCTTTCTGAAAATTCAATAAAGATTCACCCCAAACCATTAAGAGCCAACAATTTTTAAACGTAAATACTATATGAGGAACAATGACTGGGAAAGTAGTCTTCATACAGAAAAAACGAAGACTACATTGCTAAGAACTAGATTTATATTATTACATTCATCTTGAGGGCAAACACAGAATTCATCAAATCGAGATTTATTTTATCACGAAACTCTGGGCATAATTTGACTTCATGTCTTGTATGCAAATGCCTTTGTGTGCCAGAACCACATTTAACAGGCAAGATATCAAAGAAATAGGAAAAAAAGAAAAATTTCACCAAAATACACCAAGCTTAAAGTGCTTGACTTCTCATACCTCAACCCTAAACACTAGAGCTCTGATGTAAAACTGCCAAGAGCTGATGTTCTGTTGCCTTCACCGGTTTCCAGGCAGGCTTATTTAACCAAACCCAACTGTCACCGCACAAGTGGTGAGAGTTAAGCAGTAGAAACATTAGATCATTTCATTTTCTTACCCAAACACAAACATTCAGTGCCATTGAAAGACTGATTTCTGATCAGTCTTGGTTTTAACGCAACAATGAAGAAAACATGATCTTGGCAGACAGACAGAAACCAAACCTGAAATATGTAACATTCAGCATTACATGGCATATTATGTTCCATCCAACCCTGACCAACATTTCTTCATGGTATGTCAGAGTATTTGAAGAAGGACTAAGTCTTTCCAGTCCTGCCTGTTTCAACATTTGCCAAAGTCATCACCAGAAGTATATGCCTGCCATAATCCAACAGCAGTGGAATGAATGCCACTTTCCTGCTTGGGGACAATAATCTTTCCTTTGCAAAGGGACATCTGAGCCTCCAGAGCCAAAACTTCTGTCAACTTTTAATACCTAAAGATTATTTCCCTCTTGCCTTTAAGCACTTGTTGTTCCAGCAAACACGCATCGTTTAAAACTGCTCTGCCAGATGTACTAATAGAGACACACACAAAGCAGTATTTGACCAAGGTGTTAGTGGGATGATAAGAGCAAGAACAAAACTCTCAGCTCATCACCTGCAACTGGCACAAGCAGTCTGAGAGACAACACAGGAGCTGGGGGATAACACAGAGGTGTTTTCTTAACAGTAAGAAAGAAAAAGCACAAAGGCATTTTCTTGGCTTTTTATCACTCCTAACTATATGGTTACCACAAATTTGGGGGTTTTCCCTTTCACACGGAAACATTTCAGCCTGTAGCTCTTTACAAAGACAACAGGTAAGATCAAGGATGCTTCCCACCCACCCCACTCCTCTGGAATCTGTTGAATAAGCAAACATAAACCCTTGATTTCTTCAAAACGACGCCAGCTACAGGCAGAGCAGTGGCACCCAGCTAGATTTATTTTATAGACAAACTCCCTCATCTTCAGAACTTTATTTAACAAAATCGCTGGGCTCAATAAAGTTTTGGGGTCCCATGTTTTCCCAAAGACCACAAGAAAACACAGCGTGTGCAATTCTGTCTCAACGTGATGTCTTAAAGATGCCAGCTCACAATGCTGGTCCCAGAGAGAAAGGAACAGCTTGATCAAAACAGACCACATCACAGAGCACTACTCTGGACAACTAGAAATGCATGTGGGAAACTTCCTCACAGACACATACTCCACAAAACTGAAGCCTAAGATCCCAGGCATCACCCCCCTAGAAAAGAATTGTTGCACGAATGCTGAATTTTTTACTTGGCTTACAAAAAGCCTCTCCTGCTCAGCCTTCTCTCTAAAGGTGCCCTCTCTGAAAACACATTTTTTTGAATGCCAACAGACTGTGAAGTCAGGCTTTAGTGTGCCTTCATCCAATAGCCTTCAAATTAATTATTTTTAATACCTTTGCTACAGCTGACTACACACAAACTTGGCCAGTTTCTGTGCGTGCCTCCCACAGGCTCTGGAATAACCATCTACTTGGACTGCTCAACATCTTACTTTCTGCATTCCTGGTCTCAATTTTCAACTTAAGACTACTCCCAGCATGACTTAAATTATATTCTAAGGCTCACGTTCAGACCAACCTCAGTAAACATGAACAACTTGGGCTAAAATATTATTCAGGAAGTCATAAAATTTGGTATGCAGGAATCTTTTCAAGGCTCTCAAAACTAGGTTACAGTAAGATATTATGAAATGACTTTAGAACAGCTCATAAAAAGCTCATTTTCTGGTTTGCTGTCGATGGGGTCATATTAGTGTCATCAGTAAATACATGTATTTACCTTTTAGTTTATGTCTCACAGAAACAGATAAATCTCATTTAAAGCACCAGCAATGAGGAATCTGGAAAACCATACAGCTTTCCAACAAACTCCTCACTGCTGTAATCCATCCACCATCTTCTGCAGAGCTTGCTCTAGCTCAAGTATTTTACTGATTTAATATAAACTGCAGAGGCATCAGTAGGGCACATCAGCATGTTCCGTCCTCAGCAAACATCTGTAATAAAACCACCATGTGGTGGGGTTTTTTTTCAGCTGAGAACAAACAAGGTGAAAACAGCTGCTCTGGGTACATAACCAAAGGGGAACAAACTGTCCACATCCCTTCTCCTCCTCTACTCAGAAAGGGTATTTTGGGCAGACCTCTACATTAAAACAGACAAAACAAAGGGGGAAAACAGGGATTCAGAGACTGGAGTTAACACTCATGCAGGAATATTTTGCCACTCAGTTTGCGTTTAATGAGAGGGGCTTTCAGCATTCTCCCACTGCTCATGGTTCCAGTGACCAGAATCTGTTTATAGCTCTGCCAAGGTTGTACCAATACTGTGCCCTCTTTATAAGCTGCTCAGAGATGTTAATGCTAGAGATTTCTCAAATAAATATGTATTTTGTGGTAAATGCACTGAGAGGGCTTCAAGCCAGATGTCAAACGTAAGCTTTTTTTGTACAGTGCCACACGACATAAAAATAACAGCCATTCTTCCACCTCCAACCACAGAAAGGTGAAAGTGTAAGAAATGAGTCCCCCCCTCAGTGTAAAAGGGGACTAAATATGTATTCTATAGAAACTGCTCGGCTGGGGAAGAAAAAAGAAAAGAAATTCAGCTCAAAGAACTACAGCAGAAAAAGAAAGATTACAAAGACACGACAGAAGCACCAAAAAGGTGTTTATAACAAGTTGGAAACATTATTTCGTGTATTTTTTAGTTAGTGGAATCTCCTCCAGTGGCAAACTCAGATTATCACTTCAGGCAAACAGGCACAACATGAACTGGGATAGGTCATGGACCTCACTACAGCAACTACTGCATAAAATCCTGTTCCTGACTAACATGTATAAAAAAGTACAGAAGAGCCCTGAAACCCATTATCTCCCAACTACTCATTGCATTAGAAGTTGCCACAATGTAAGAACTTCATTCATACAAGGTGCCAAACCCCAGCACCAGCGTCATACCAGGAAATGGTTTATAATAGTTGAAGGAAGCCATGAGCTGACACCTGCTGATCAGCATAAATCAGGATCTCAGTAACTTACAGCTTCCTCTGTTGAAATTATTGTATGTTTTTAATTATTTTCCACATTTTTTAATAATTTTTCCACACTTCATTAATTAGAAACTATCACTTGCTATTTCTTTATAAAGAAGTCAGTACCCCTCAACCCAAAAGAGTATAATTGAAAAGCACAAAATCTCACACCAATATCTTTAGGCTGGGGTTGGGGGGAAGAAAAAAAAGTATTTGTCACAGTAAAATTTAATTCTGAGAACCCTTTTTGCCAAGGGTGATGATGTCACTCTACTCACCTCCCACATGAGCCTGCAGTCCGTGTTCTCATCCAGTTCCTGCGGCATTCGCTTCTCCCCTGCAAAGGGGCCAAATTTTTCACCCTAAGGAATAATAATAAAATAAAAAGGATCAGTAGGGGACAAGAAGAAAAAGGTAAGTGAGCTACCAAACTCCAGCAGAGGAATAATTTTTAGCTTCACACAGATATGTACAGTTTTCCTTTGTTGTCCTACTATATGCCAAGAAGGTGCACATCCTTGAGGGCTCAAGTTGGAGCTCATTCCCATTCTTTCCACAGCTTGGAGAATCTCCTAAAACCACACCTTTCCTCTACGTGCTTATTCTCCCATGGGGAAGCAGCATTTTTCTTTATCTCGAAGAAAGCTGAAATGCCCAAGTCAAATTTCTTACATTTCTCACAAAATTTTCAGGAAGCACCTTGCGACAGACATCCAACCAAAACACCGTATTTGGCAAGCACCAAGTTTACATTAGATTTATTCCTGAGATTATTTGCAGCGCTGCTTTTTGAAGTGCCCCAAACCAAAACACTGAATAACTGAGGTCTGATCGCACAGAGAGATTCCTTTGAAAATGCAGGGAGTATGCACGTGTCTATGAATTAATTCAAGCCTCCATAAACAAAATTAAAATGTTATAGCACCTGCTAGTCACAACACTGGTTGTGAAGGCATCCATTGATACGTTCTTCCAAAAGTACTTGGTACTGGAGTTTTTTCCTTCACAGACATTACAGTACACACGCTGCCTTGTCCTTATTTGCAGTGACAAGCCCTACAACCTGGAATCCAGGATGCCATGTTCCCTTAGGCATATTCTGATCCAAAAGCTCTATACACTTCTAAGCATTAGAAATTATTACTATATATTAAAAAGCAACTTCAGTGTTTCTTTTAAAAAAAAATTTGTTTAATAAAAGTATTGATCTTGTCCACAGATCCCTTCCCCCAGGCACATTCCACATTTCCAGAAACAGCCTGCTATATGTTTTCTCTCCTGGTTAGATTTTACAGACTGCCTACAGGTAGAGCAAAGAGAAAAAAGGGGCATGGAGAAGTTCCAGGTTCATTCCTCTTGGAAACAACACATCAAATTAAAAAAAAAAAAAAAAAACCAAAACACTCGTATTTAAAATTAAACCTGAAGAGGTAATAATGAAGGAAAATAAAATTGGCAGAACAAGGCAAAAGAACTGAGGGGCAGTATTTTAAATATGCACAAAGACTTCATTGCAAAGAGCAGCAAAGCAGAGGGTGAAAAAAACCAAGAAGAGCACAAGACAGCAGCTGGAGCCCAGAGCGGCGATGGAGACACAGACTGGGCAGTGGCAGCAAGAACTGGTACTATGGGGCTTCGTGTCCTTTCTTCTCACTGATCTCCAAACCACCCTCCACTGTTTTGCTAATAAATGATGTCAGAGTTCCTCCCTTGCCAGCTTTCCAAATCCTGGGATTTAATACCCAAACTGAAACTTCCGCCTTCTCTGACCTCATGGGCGATGAAGGTGAAAACAGGTCAATACAGGTCTGTGTGTACAGCACCAACAGTGTTAATTTTACCCGTCCCTGAACCCACAGCACCCCTGGGATGAACCACAGCAGCAGTTCAAGAACAGGGAACACCACACTTCATTCCCATCCCAGCCACTCCAAACCAAGAAATCTCTACTGCAATACGTTTAAGACCTTCCAGAAGCTCAAAACCATAGCAAAAGGCATCATGTCCACCTCTGAATGCAGAGTAAATGTAACTCGAGCAGCAGGTGATTCAGATTTCTAAGCACTTTTTATGGCTTCTCAAATTTAGAGGGAAAACAAAACCTGATGTCTTGGAACACAAAGGTCCATGGGGAAAAGTGCAATTATTCATTTAGCCTTTTAGACCATTTTCTTCATACATATTTATATATACACACATTATTCCTAGTTAATAAACATGTTGTCATATGCCAATATACATTAACCAAAAACATACCTAAGACTCCAACTTGCTTTCTGATCAATACAAGTGAGGAACACAACTCAGTCTCAAGTCAGCCACAGAAATGATTCAATATATGATTCCAATGCTGAAAAAGCTATTTTCAGCAGTTGCTTTCTAGAAAGCAGCAGTGACCAATGTTCCAGAGGCAGCAGAACAATCAGAATTCAACGGCTCTCTGGTGGTTAGACCAAGAGCCTCGTAAAACTGGTGGCTCTGGAGCCAAAGGCCAGCAGTTGGAAAACAGAAGGCACACAAGAATCACACCTTTGTTAAGGTAAAAAAAAAAAAAAAAACCAAGCCACCAAAAACTTTCCACCTTTTATGCTTACAAATAAAAAAAAAAAAGAACGCCTGAAGGTGCATAAGCAGATGGCAGGCAACAGCAGTTCAGAATGCATTATTACCAAAACTTGGCTAATAGCAGGATTTTCAGAGGCCTACTTAGCACTCGGAGAGGTGGTACTGCAATTTCTGATTACAGCATCATCTGAAACGTGTTTGACTTTCAGTTCAGACAACTGCAGTTGTGTGACAGCAATGGAGAGAAAAAGGTACACGCAGCACCACAGGTTTCACTTCACAATTAAGTGTCACATTCAACACCTCTTCCCAATCCCAACCCTCCACAGAATTTAGTGGCTATACGCTACTCTGTATCAGAGCCACCAAGTGTAGCACTTGTGCCTCATTACTGGACAGGAGCACGTGTTGAGAGAGCTTCAAATGTGCTTTTTCTTTCCACGGAAAAGAGTAACACACAGCCTGGCTGTGTTAGTTATACATCCACTCTTCTCCCAACAGCCATGCCTCAGGTCTCCAACCAATTTGAGGAATATCTGTTTTCACCACTGCTCACAACTCAAGAGCTGGTTCCTCGGCCCATCAAAGCCCAAAGTCTGCCTGGTCAGGGCTTTGCACGCCCCAACTGCCTGTGCTCCCAGCACAGAGGATTCACTGGCAAAGGACAAAGCCTGTAACAAACACGGTCACCAGACACTCCTAATACAAACAGATCTGCCTCTGCTTTTACCTTCTGCATTCTACCCGCCATACATATCACACTCGCAACACTGCAGTATTTCTAGGATGCCCAGGCAGAGCTGTGCAGGCAGAACTCTGACCACACATACTGTGCCGGTACAGAGTTCTAAAGTGATGTGGAGTAATTCATGTAAGAAAATGCTCTGTTTGTCATTGCATGCGCCTCTTATTGATTCAACTGACAACAGTGTAAAGGAAGGAGGCTCAGCCCCTGACCTCTGAACTGACACTTGCAATTGATATTTTGTATATGCTTGACAGATGTATGCTGTATATGGGGGGGATGCTGATTTCCACGAGTTTCACTCTGTTTTAGAGTCCAGGGATTAACAGATGCTCATAGTGTACAACCTTCCCGTGTGAATCCCCAAAGCTTTCAAATGAAAGTTCAGAACTGCAGTTTTAAAAATTTAAGCCAAATATCATAAAAATGTTCCCCTTCCATTCCCCCTTAACACTCAGGGACACCTTAAAAATAAAGAGACCTCCACCCCATGGAGTCTAAGTCTTACTGATGAAACCACTGAAAAATTAGGCAAAGGAATCAGAGCCAAAACCAGGACAAAGATGGAAAGCAAAATATGCAAAATACATAAAAGTGTACGCTACTGCAGGGCTTACAGCTTTGGGTATGCCTTGATGTGTCCTGACAAGCCACCTGGACACTTGCGGTTGGGATTTCAGGTGACCACGATCACCTCAATTACGAGGTGTGAGGTGGCATCACCTGGGTGGGGCACGAGAGACCAGCGGCTCAGCTAAACCACGTCGTTCACAAGCCCGGGTTGAATTCTCCCGAAACGAGGAATTAAATCATCCCCAGGGCTCTAAGAGCCGTGAGGGGCGAGGGGACGGGCGGGCACCCCCTCAGAGCGCAGACCGTGAGGGAGGCGGTGCCGCCCGGGGGAGCTCTGCCCTCACAACTCCGCCAGAAACACAACTAAGTTTAAAACAGAAAAAAAAAAAAAAAAAAAAAAGAAACAAAAATCCTCAGAGCAAACCCTCCGCCGGCCCCCGCGCCCTTTCTCGCCCGAGGGGGAGCGCCCCGGGAGGCTCCTCGTACCGGGGAGGGGGGAAAAGGCGGGCGGTGCCTGCCGTGAGGAGACGGAGCCCGGGCGGGCACGGCGCGGCTGAGGCGAAGTTTGGAGCGGGGCAGAGGGGCGGGGGAAGCCGCCCCGCTCCCCGGTGATACGTGGCAGCCGCTCCCCGCCGGGCCGGGCCAGGCCAGGCCGTTCCCCCGCCATCACCCACCTTCTTCACTCTGCGGGCCGTGTAGAGCCCCATCCCGTCCTGCACCCGGGACGACTTCAGGGCGAACCTATCCGGCACGTACATGCCCAGCATTTTTGCACCGAACTCGGGCCCCCGCCGCCTGCTTACGGGGGAGGAGGATTCCCAGGGACTTCCATCCCACCGGGAGAAGCACGCGAGAGAGCGCAAGCGGGGCAGGCGGCAGGAAGAGGGGCTGGATGCGGGAGCTCTCCCGGCTCCTGAGGGGAGGGGAGGGGCCAGCGCGCGGGACGGGACGGGGCGGGGCGGGGCGGCCGTAGGGGGCGCGCGCGCCCGGCGGGGCAGTGGCGGGAACGGCGTGTCCGGCTCGGATTTACCCTCAGGGGTTTTGTTTTTTGTTTGGGCTTTTTTTTTTTGTTTGGGTTTTTTTTTTTTTTGTATTGCAGAAACGGGTGAACCCAGGCTCGCCTCCGCAAACCGCTTAATCCCTTCGCTTTCGGGGACTGTCTCTGAGGGGACTCAAGATGGAATGGCAGACACTGAGCAACCCTCTAAAGAACGCGAGCATCACCATTTTTTTTTCCTCTAAAAGTTAACGTCCTATATGTATTCTCACAACGCAGCTGTCTTACAACAACTTAGTTTCTGGCTAAAACCGCACACACAAGGTAGTTGAACAGAGAGGAAAGTTTCACTCCAGCAGGTTGCTAATACCGCACACCAGCGCTCTATGAACACTTCTGTGAAATAAAACTACAATATCCAACACTGACCTTTCTCTAGAAAGCTGATTACTTTGGGCTGGGATTTCAGTCCACCTCATACGCATACTGTTGTTCTCCAAACTGAAGTAGCATCATAGCCGAAAAGGTTACATCTGATTATACAGTCAAAACTGCAAAGTATGGAGACACATGAGGCAAGCATGAGGAAAAGGGGGAAAAACTCTATTTATAGACATATTTTAAAATTGTGCTGTTAATAATAATAATTAAGCCACGGGAGCGTAATAACCTCTTCTTTTGGTATTCTTCCAGAGACCTTAACAGATGTATAAATAGTACAAATATTAAAAGCTCCTAGTTTCCACCAAGTAGGAAGGAATGAAAAATGACTAGAATTTTATTTACCACGCTATAGTGAACAGATCATCATAAAAGTGCATGTATTGCTTTGTTATCAGTTGAATTTCTGTCAGTCCATAGGCAGACATCTAGGGAAAAATAAAATTAAAAAAACCCCACGCCTAACTGAACACAAAACTACCTTTGACTATTTTTCTGTTCCCTTAATGTTGCACACAATGATGCGATTTTGCTTTTAGCACCTACAGGGTCATAGTTTGGTATCATAAAGCTTTATAAAAAAGATCTTTATAACAGGCAATGTACATTCTGACTACCACACATGTATATACAGAAAAATGTAGGTGGTACTGCATGATATTCAATATATGGTAAATTAGATTAAGCCCTCACTTTTAGAAGAAAAACCAAAGGAAGAGAGATTCCAATGACATGGCTGAAAGAATGATTTTGGGAATGAAAACTAGACACACAGGTTTTACACCTTGATTGAGAGCCTGGACACTCACTGTTCATTTAGTAATAAAAAAAAAAAGAATAAAAATGGGGCATCTAAAGCTATATAAGTAAAAATTCTAAGATCTAAAAAACAAATAAATTGACCTGAGGGGAAATAAGTTGCCTGAGAAAACTGCTTCTGTTTTAAGAGTAAGAGCAAAATTTAACTATTCTTTTAATTAAGATCCAGCTCCAAAGCTTTCACATGCATAACTAAATACAGTTAGTATTTATGTAGACCAGAACACTTTCTTGAATGGATTCCAGTCTGTCTTAATAAATATCAGATAAAAATGTTGGCATCATTTCCCCTTTGACCTTTTCCAAAGGCTGTGAGTATTTTAAAATCATTTTACCATTTATTAAGGCCTCAGTATTTTTCTCTTACGAAAACAAAACAAAAAAAAAAAAGCTTGGGGGTCAGTCCTTCATTTTGAGCCTCAAAAGATTTCTTTTTATGTGCAGTAAAATGTAATAACACAGCACAACTTGCAATACATTTGTGCCTCTTGATTTTAAGCTCTTTAGGTACATAAGACTAATTATTTTATTTTGTAAACTTCGCCCATTATTATTCTAACAAGGAAAGCACTTACCTGTGCCTTACTGAGTTTAAAAAAATTAGAAGAGATGCTGCAGAGACTGGAAAAAAAGAGACACCAACCTTTCCTTCTGTAGCGTGCTGGGTGTTGTGACACTGATCAGATATTCACAACTGCTTGTCCACCTCTTATATTTTTTTTTTCATTTAAGTTAATCAATCATTAACCTTAAAGCTGTAACTCATTTGCAATCCAGCACAGAGAAACTGAACATTTTGACCCTCTGTTTCCATGTCGCTCCCTAGTTGCGTGTTTGGAACTACACAGAACACTAAGGAGAAACACAAGGAGCCTTAAAGTTTGAAGCCTAATGCTGTCAGGAATTATTTCCCTAACATCCTTGGAAAGAGAAAGGCATTTCCAGAAGGAAGCTCTTATGCAGCCGTGAAAGCTGCTGTGCCCCAAACGAAATTCCATGGCAGGAATCCACGTGTGGTGACAAACAAAATAATTAGAAGGGTTTTTGTGTGGAGTTGCAGCACTCATTGCAACATCACACTAAGAGCATGGTATGTTACTCCTCCACTTGAGGAACAGTTAATTAAGTGTCATACCTAATATGTCACATTCTAGGAAATGAAAAGATATAAGACCAAAATAGTCTTCAAGATTCCAGAATTAAGCATGCCAGCTGCTGAAGTATCCAGCACCTTAGAAGGAAAACATGTTCTGCAGAAAAAAAGGATGGCTTTTCAGAGCTAATCTCTTGTTTAGATGGTGTGATATCGTCTCTGCTCCACACAACATTTCCTGCACTGCAGTTTAATTGAGTTTGCAGGTGTTTTGAAAACTTCCTTCCTGAATCCATCAATCTCCTCTCCAACCCCATCCACTTGCTCTTATAACCTGGTAAGATCAGGAGCAGCTCTTTAAAAGCAATCTTTGTCTCATCTGGATTGTACCCCATTTGCAGGACATGTACAGCGTTGCCAGACTATTTCCTGTCTCATTTTGCATTCAAGCTTTCAGGAAGCAACAGTTCCAGCTTGTCTGATGGTAGAATCTGAGGGGATTGGAAGGGAACTTAAAGCTCATCCAGTTGCAATCCCGTGCCATGGGCAGGGACAGCTTCCACTAGACCAGGTCACTCAGAGCTCCATCCAACCTGGCCTTGACAAGCTGGATGTGGAACTTTAGTCCACACAACAGTGCCAGCACACGCAGACATGGTGACCCTTGCACTGCTTTTGAAGGCAAACCCAAGAAGATCAGCACACTCAAGTGAAAGATTTGGAAACAGGGGCAGCAAATGAACTCCCAGAGCTTAATAAGAGCTGTGTGGGCCTGTAAAGCCTGCCCTGCTTTGGGGACAGTGACACCATTGCCAGCAGTCATCACCAGGCTCAGGGACTAAGGACCTGGAACAAATTGTGCTGACATGGAGTCAACTTAAACCATATGTCACATTACCAACTAAAAACTCAATCTCTTATGTAAAACAATCTTCTTTGTGAAATAAATATGACAAAAACTTGCATCTACTCGGTGTCTCTCTCAGTGGGGTTTTTTTCCAGTTCTAACACTGTTTGTTTCGTCTGTATTTTCTGGTGATCTGAAAAACTTAAGCTGTTCTTTCCCTAATGCACTTTGATGTGCTGAACAAGATTCCTTTCAGAGCTATTTTTAAGGATTGCTGCTTTTTTGTGTCTTTTTTTTTTCTACACTGATTCTTTTGAAGCTTTTTGAATTCAGTAAACATTGCAACTAAAAAACTATTTCCCTACCAAATCTCTCTTCTAATCAATGCACAGTTGGCTTCTTTTTTCCAAGGTCATGCAAAGCTGTAAATTCTAAGATAAAACTGATGTCTCATTCTTTGCTTACATGTACAGAGTAGTTGCTGTCAAAATTCCCTTCTTGGAGATTTCAAGTCCTAGAAGTTGGTGCCAGGATTTCAGGATTAAAATTTTTCTCCTTCCCCTTTGAAAATACTAAAATACAGGCATTTTTATTTACATTCCCAAGCTGATGGCATGTTAAGTTTTCAGTCCTATTGGTTGAGAGGGTTCTAAACTAGGGCTTAAAGAAAAAAAGGCGAAATTTTACATGAATAATACTCTTGGGAAAAAGTACTCAAAGCAATAGTGGGTCTTAAGCTGAACCTGAGTCAAAGTTATTTTGCTGATATGAAAATATAATATGCATTCTTGTTTATACACCCAGCATGAAAGACTGCAAGATTAAAATCAACTTCACTGTTGGCTCAGCCTCAGCTGGAGAACTGGATTCATTTTGAGGCATCACATTTCTATGAGGAAAAAAAAAAAGGGGGAACAGCAAAGTTCTGACATGGTTTTGTTAAGAAAAATCCTGAGGGGTATATCTATAGGAGTTACAGGCTTTATAGACAAAGGAGGAGTGAAGACCAGATGACAACCATGGACAGAAGTCTAACAGACACTGCCTCAGAAGAATTATTGAAGACATTCAGGTGTTTAGTCCAGGGAGCAGAAAACCTCTGGATACGAAATAATAAAAAGTCTTCAAGTACATTAAAACTACCGTAAAGAAAACTGCTACTGGACACGGGGTGACCTCTGGCACACTCACATGTTCTGCTCCTATATAAAAGAGCACAGGAAAAAAACAAACCTAGGGAATCTTGCAAAGACAGAAATTAAAGCACAGAACTCCAAATACTTATTTTACAACATTTAGTGTGAGCCATTATTTTCCTCAGGAACAGCAGCTGACAGAACCACTCAGTGCAGCAGCACATGAACCGGGCCACATCCTCGCACGCTGTAAAAGTGTCTTCCCCAGCTCAGGGATATCCTATTGCAGCTTCCTAAACTGCTGTCACACACCCTGTTTTTCCTGTCAGCCCCTTCAGGATTGGCTCACCCTTTCCTTCGTTAATGGAAAGTGACTTTCCAGATGCAGCCTCTCCCTGGTGAGCTGGTTCCTTCAGTCCTCCCCGTTCCCATACCTGCCCTGTTGCACAAAGATCACACCTCCTCAGGCCCAGTTTCCATTATACCCTGCACTGCTGCTCATCATACGCTCCTTCTGGGAGCAAC